GAGCATATCGAAAATGAGTTCACAAGCTTTTTGGCAAACATTCTTCTGTCTTCCGCTTCTCACATTCTACGCCGTAAGCAACACTGGCGCAGAGGACTGCATAGGAAGCCGAATCGAAAACTCTGATTGTTTCACGCGCTACAGGATCAAGTTGGTGCAGCAGCAATTGGGCAGCGACCTCTTGGAGGTAAAACTCGAGAGTCTTGGTGCGTGCCCATCTTCCTCTCCAGGCTATCCAGGCGATATCTTCACTCAAAGCATATAGATAAGTGGCCCCGGAGCCCCGGAGGACACCCGGTGTCGCACCCCGTCCTGTCTGTTTGAAGGGGATGCCCAGCCGCTTCATAATGCAATTCCAAAGGCGTCGAAACTGGTGGATGGATCCCGGAAACAACTTCTGATCCAAGGGCAAATCAAAAAAGAGCTTTTCACAAAACCAAATTACAAACTCATCATCGATTCTCCCGTGTTGCCTCCGGGCAAAACGGGCCGTTTTCGGGTTCTGGATATGCAGAAACAGGCAGCTCATCTCAAAATCCAAATCTCTGGGGAAAACAAAGTCTTTTCGTACCAGAGCCACAAGCTCTGAAGGGTGCAGCATTGCACTGAAAGCGAGAAGGACCACACCGGCCCATGGCAGCCACTGCCACAAACAAGCCAAGCAAACCGCCGCTCGAACGGCGGAAGCAGGAAGAACCGCCCTGCATTGGCCTGGTTCATACGCCTGCCATTTCTTGTCGATTTGCCAGGCCACTGACATATGGTTCTTACTGCCAGGATACTGATCTTGTATTGCAGTGATTGTATACACAAACATGTACCGTGGCAAACCGCTTGAAAAACAGTGCAACCCGTAAGCCCGAACAGCCCAGCACAAGGCTGAGCAATCTCGTTCAAGCTTGCTCCAGCTGTTTGGAAACTCGTTCTCGACCCAGAGCTTGAAAGCTAGCAAACACTTGTGCATACGCTGGGCTGTGCTTTCAGCGAATCCAACTGACAGGTCCATAGGGCCCCTCGCAACCTGCGGCCTGACAGGCCCTGGGTTCTCCTCGATGTCGCCTGCTAGCAGGAGCAGGAATCGAAGCCATCGAGCTGGGTTCTTCTCAAACCTCGAGGAGGCATGGACGCAATCAAAAGAAGCTGGGTTTCCCGCTTGCAGGTCAGTCAACCATCTAGGGGGTTCTCGAGACGGAGGGCGGACCGCTTTATCTCGGGATGGCTCATCAGCTCTATTATGTTTACTGCCACAGTGAAGGCACCCGGGATATAGCCCACTTCCGATGATGTAACAAACGCAACCTTGCAAAACACGGGAAAGAGCGAAAGAACTAGACCTACCTTTTGCAGTTGCTCCAATGGTCACACGGCTGTCCAAAAGTCCCAGGAAACGACTGTCAGGTTCGCTTTTTGCCATAGCCTTAATCCAGCTCTTATAGGTTCTAGCTTCATTAATATTAATGTGACCGGATCTCGTGAATTTATACCGAAACATTTCTCGAAAGTCAAGACACTCGCAAAGCTCATTGACCCATTCCGGATCATCCCACCACTGTCGGGTGTCGAACACAGGTTCGGGCCCGACTAATGTCAGCGTGGAAATCGCTGGCATCTGCAGTTCTGAAAGAGTTCGGCTGTGCACAAAACTGGGGATCACTCCTCTGGCCCCACGCTTTGCTGCAACACTGCCACTGGCCATTCGGTCGGTCAGACCGATAGGATACGCTCCAGAGTAGGAGGAGACTTTTTCACCTGGCCGTGGTGGACGACCGAACACCGCGGAGGCGCTCGGGCGACATCGTTTTTCAAACTGCTCAATGGAGCTTTTAGTGAAATTTCCTTGAACAATGAAATGAGGTTCCGGACAAGAACAACTACTTTCCAACGCGATCAACCATGGTTTGTTGTGAAGCCATTTGGAGTGCTTACGGAAGGCACTGCCGTAACTGCAAAAGTGGAAATGAGACACAACGCACCCCAAGTGGACTAGAACCCTGTAACAGTGCAGTCGGAAGAGGCAGGAGCCGCCGGGCTGCTCGACGCTAACGAACTGGCCCATCTTAACAGCCACCGTCAAGACAAAAGCGTTTCTGTGAGCTAGCATGTTATGCCAAGCAGTGTAAGGGTCTTTGGGGTCAAATCCAAATGGTTCCGCACTGGACCTGACTTCTGGCCTTCGTAGAGTCCCAAAACTAGGACAAGGCATGCCAGAATGCCACTCCCGGACCACTCGTCGCGCAGCAAGCCCAACCAGCTCGCGCGCGACGCCGTGATTACTAAGGTCAGACACGCGGAGGCGGCTGCCATCACAGTTCAAACCATCGTGGACGGTCAATCCAAGCTGCTCATGGGACTTGCTCCAATTTCCAGTGCCTCTGGAAATTTCGACACAATCAAACAGGATTCCTTCATTCAAACAAGGGGGGACTTGAGCAAACATTTCGCTGGAAAGAGGCTCAACAGGTTGACAGGTTAAATCAGCAGCAACATGATCAAGGCCTTTTTCAGTTAAGTAAGCCGAGGCTGGGGATTGCAGTCGGGTGTAGAACCCTTTCTGTTCTGAGTGTCTCCAAAGCTCACGACTAACGTGTGTACCTACTTGGGCCGAACAAACAGCACCACCTGACGGACTGGCATCAGTGGTGAACAACTTTTTGGAATATGAAACTCGCAAATCGGCTTGGGCGACCGGTCCGAGCAACCCAAGAATCTGCAGTTCATTTCGGCATTGTCTTGACAGTGTGAAGACTTGGTTCTGCGGACGGCCAGAACCGTCACTGAACACAGCATCCATGACCGCAAATAACACTCTTCTAAAAAGCAGAACGTGCACCCAACAACCGGTGAGAATTGACAAGAGCTTAGGTGTACAGGAGCCGCGCGCAGCGATCGTGAGGCTGAGCAGGGAAAGCATGAGGACTCTATTCCGAGGACTCATGACCCGGCCTGCAACCCCGTCGAAATCCGCTCCCAAAATGATGCCGTCAGTTAAATTGCGTTTTCGCTTCTTTGGGTGCTGGACTAAACCAACCTTGTTGTAAGCGCGCTCCGCAGCTTGGAAAACGAAGGTGTCTCGTTTTGGGGTCTGCAGCCTATATTCATCCCAAGTGACTTTCTGAATCCCTACATGATCATCTATAGCTAAAAGCTCGATGAAGTCAGTTCTGGGGCAAGGAAAACGATACCGCATGGTCTCATGGACGAGCATAGCACCACAAAGATCCCTGAGCACATGTGTATGGGCTTGTTGCGCGACTTCAACCGCCAAACTGTCCCCCATGGCCAAGGTGCTAAGAGCGATGAGATACTCTCCATTACGGTCCCCGTCCTCAGGAAATCCCTGCAGGTGAGCTAGCTCCCAACCCTTGAACTTACATCGAATGGCATTTCGCAAACACCTTGCATGGCTAACTTTGAACGTGTAGTAAAAATCAGACAAATCGTCAGCTGAAAAACGGAGCACTTGTGTGGGTTGGAGGTCAAGCAGAGCAATCATGGCACCAGGAGCTAGACTTTTAGTAAAATCGCTAATGCTAGCCATCCTGCCATTAATGACCTTGGGGTTGATGATCAACCTATCATAGTCCGCATCTTTAGGCACACAAAACAAACCCACGGCTTCATCAAAGTTTTTCGACCTGGCTGGAATGACGGTGCAAGCTCCAAGTCGATCCCACCGAGCTGCCAACCTGAGCAGTTCCTGCCGAGAGCAATGCAACTTTGCAGGATGGGCTTTTGGCCACATATGTTCTGGGAGTCTGAGCACTTCAGGGTCGGCAAACGCAGCTTTTACTAATTCATTACTCAGGAACCTCTCAGCTTCAAAGGTTGGTGGGTAATTCCATTTGACACGATCTGCAACCACTGGCTTTGAACCACTGAGGTTACAGCCAAGCTCAGCGGTCGGTGCAAAAGAGTGAGTCGGGGCGGTCTGACTGTCAGCATGTTTGGACTTACCACGTGCAAAATGCCTAGAATAAGGGTCCAGGCCCCTCTGAATTTCCTGCACTAAATTCTCTAGGTCCTCAACCCCCAGGCGGGGTAGTTCCTTAATCATGCAAAACACATCTTGGAACTTCTCGGCAGCCCTCCCCAGATCACTGGTGTAAAAAGCTGGCGCATGCAAATAGTGAGCTACCATATCATGAAGCCTTTCAAGCACGTCGGCCTGAGCTCCACTGATTGAAAAACCAAGGCACGCTGTTTGTGGTGGCCACAGAACATGTCCTAAACACTCCCAGTTCAGTGCAATCACAACCAGCTGCAGCAAACGGTGCTTTGCCACATGGTACCGTCGCCGACGCCGGCGCTTGGCTCCAAGATGTGTACTGCCCGACCATCTCCACCTAGGCGGGGGCACGGGCCACAGGGGTCGACGGGCGTCGCCCTCTACATTGCAGGTTGGTCCCTTTCGGGAACAGTTTGGGCCGTGCAAACTTGCCCTCGCAAAGTGTGCAAAGCCGGTGTGGCTAGACAAAAAACTATAACAGGCTTGATTTACAAGATCAACAGGATTAAAAACTCGATCCTTAGACAGGTCGGGAAGAGCAAAAACAGAAGGCTGTTGAGAGCATGTCTTGGTCTGTTCAGGGTCGTTCCACACATCATCTTGGGGCAAGTCACTGCAGACACCCCTGCTTATATGCGGAGGACCAGGCTCTTGGGAAGCGGCTGAGGCACCGCCTTTGGCGTCCCGGCTCAAGCTGCATCGGAGGCCGCTGCGCCCTGTGCTGGCGCTTGGCCCCCGCCTTTGCCTCTGCCTCTTCCTTTCGGATTCTTCTTTCTGGGTTCTTCCTTTTCCGACGTGGTTTCTTGCTTGGACCCTTTGGGTTTCCCTATCGAAGCCATGCGACCCTCTAAATAATCCAAATCCTTCATGTATGCTAAATTTGCTGACACCCAACTCGGCGCTGCAAGCCGGCTGAACGGTTTCAGACCAGGTCGGTGCTTGTGGGAAAACAACATCTGGGCATTTGGCTCTGGGTAACCGGTGAGGAGCCACCCCAACTGCAACTTCCCCTGATCCAGGGCCACCTGCTCTGTGAACATCATCGCTTTCCCGACGAACCCAAGCATCTCTGCATTGCCGCTCTGGTAGGCAGCGGCCCAGCCCTCCGCCAGCAGCGTGGCGAAATGAGCGAGCAGGCGGTGCTCCGCCAATGGGATCCGGCGCTCGACATAGCGCCGAAGCACCGAGGAGTCTTCCCGATCCGGAGTCATTCCCAGCTCGGCCAAGGCATTGGCCCGCACCACTTCTCCAATTGCCACTAGGTCGTTTGAAGCCTTCGTGAACGCCTCCCTGGCCAGACAGCCTCTGATTCCGGATGAACTTCCGGAGCCGCTGTCCCCGCCGCCGGACAACAGGCCGACCAACGGGTCCGAGGACTTGGTTCCCACCAGCTTTCTCAGGAGCAGTGCATTCTGCTGAAGCTGAGCCACCAGAATCTGTTGAGTTGGATCCAACTGCTGGGACTGCAACATTGCTAGAACCTGTTCGGCCCCATCTGCTTCCGCTGCCTCCTTCTCGATCTCGGCAAAAGCTGACTCGGCTACCGGCGTGACCGGCTTCAGAGCACTCTGACGAGCTGCGGCTGAGGACTTCATAGGGGACGGTCCCGCAAGGCGGTGCAGTTTTGCCCACTCCTCCGGAGTGAGCTGAGCTCCTTGCTCCATCTGTGATTTGAAAAGCGACTGAGCTCGCCTTGGACCAGGAACTGTGCTTCCTACGGCTGGCTGGCCGGCACGGTATGTACTGGCCGGCGTCAGAAGGGGGGCCACTGGCTGCAAGGAGCTGCGTCTTGCTTGCTGCAATTCTGCCTCCAAGGTCGCAACCCGGGCTTGCAATTGCCGTGCATCGGGCTCCTCCTCCAATAGTTCCGGCTCCTCGTCTGCCTCGACACCGGTCAGGTATTCGTCTGCGGTCGCGACATCCATTCCTCCAGCAATCCAAGCATCGCCCTGAGCTAAGGCTGCCGCTGCCACTGGGCGGCAGGCCGCACCATGTTCTTCGAAGCCATGCAAAACCACATCTTTTACTCCCGCGAGGCGGGGATTTGGCGCCTCGAAGAAGTTTTGAGCATAAGCTACTGGCACATCGACCAGCAGGGCACCTAATTCTCCCACCGCTCTCCCGCGGTTGGTACACATTGAGATCATGCACTCCGAGGTAGCTGCTGCTTCGCCCCCTCCGGAATCCAGCATAGCGATGCCTGTTTGAACGGCTTCCGCCGGAGACATAGCTACCATGAATCCGGAAGTCCTGCAATACAGCAGGTAAGCAACAGCCGCTTCGGTGACTTTTCCATCCTCCTCTTGCAAAGCCAGCCATAAGCATGGCAAGCTCCCGGCTCGATCCGCAGAGACCTTTGACCCTAGGATCTGAACACTCTCCGCGGAGAGCGCTCTCAGCGAAGCTGCGGCGGCCATGGAAGGATAGCACCACGACTGACCTCCCGTTGGTACACGATATAGTTTCTGGTCCAAAACCCGTGGGGATAATCCAAAGATCTCAAAACCAGGTAATACGAATTGCGAAATGGAATGACCAAGGACCCTTCTCCCAAGATCTCCTCACCAAGCCGTCGCCTGGCCAAGATCCCGGCCCTGAAGGCTCGTGCCACCCTAGCCTTTGGGGCCCAGACACTGTGAGGCGCTCGAAGACGACCCAACAAGTGCCCTAGACTTTCCAAAAACAGCTGATCCAAGGCACGAGGCGAAGAGGCCTCAGTCACTGGCTCCTCCGACTGACTGCTGAAGGTGTAAAGCTCCTGGAAAGGCCCAGAAGCCGGCCCTGAATACCCACTTGACGGAGAACCAAAGCTTGAAACTTGGCCCACCACCTCGAATCCACTAGAAGTGCTCGACCCGGCCACGGACCAAACACTCACAGTGATTTCCAATTCTCTGACCCGCAGCGTGATTTCCTCGACGAGATCAGGTGAGTTGGATTGACGAATGCACCCCTAGGGGCGACGGTATTGAGCAAGCCTGACTCCTAGGTCAGGGGGGGCACCCGGGTTGGTAGGTTGCAGCAATGAGGTGAGCAAACGGAGAACCAAGATCAATCCACCCCTACACCGCTGGGAAGTCACCAAGAGGGTTGCCACTGAGCCCAGGCACAATCCAATTCCAAACACCAAGATGGATCCGAGAAGGATGAAGCCCCACGGACAGCTATTGCAGGAAGGAGCTTGCCACCACCGCAATTCACGGAGCACTTCTAGGCCCCAAGCGCTGATGCTCATTTGACCCCAAGAAGCTTGAGCCAAGTGGAAATTCAAAATGCTCAAGGGATAGTGGTTCATATACTGTAAAAAACATATAATAGATACACTCCCTGGAACTAACATGGAAGTGGATGGCCTGGCCCACAAAGGAAGACCATTTCCACTACAAACGTTGTCCACTTCCATGTTAGTTCCGGGGAGAGTATCATGTTCAAGGTAAAGGTCGAACATGAAACGACTTATGAAGCATGAGAGACATCGTCTTCAAGGTAAGGGTCGAACATGAAACGAATCACGAAGCATGAGAGATCAAGGCATCTGGGAGCATCTGAGCTTTGCGTTTGGAGCCTGGCAGTGTGCAAATCATCATGAGTTTTCACCCCACCATCCCCGCACCAGTCAGCTCTCTGGATAGTCCAATCGGCTTAAACGGAGGGAGGAAAACACCATGCTCACGTGCTTGGCTCAACTTGGCTCTACTTGGCTCTCATCGGATGTGGGGAGAATCTGGATCCCGCCAGGCGGATGTGGATCGGAGGTCCCGCCTGCCAAGACGGAGGTGCTCCGGATTGAGAGGTCCGGGCGCTTCTGAGCAGCCTCGCTTTCGCGCGTCCCACGGGCCGGGGGGACGCTGGGATGTCATAGAATGTGTGGGGTAGATGAACTCACAACTGAACTCACAACTTGGGAAAGAAAACAGTGTTTGGTACAACCTGCTCTGCCCACCCAGCCAGTTCAAGAATCTCCCACAAGTGAATGCAACAAAACAGCACATCTAGGCCACCTAGTACTGCACTAATGCCTTGAAAAAAGGACCATCAATAGCCTGAAGGACACCAATTCCACACTTTCGAGTGATCTTGCTGAAACCTTCCGGACCTTAGGAGGTGGAATTGTTTCTGTGATCATCTGTGGCAGGTGCCGATACTACTCCTGATGCTAGCTGCAGATCAGTTGCATTTTGGATGATCTTCTCGATGTCCCCACCAGGCCCCGCATGCCGGCCCTCCTGAGAACTGCGTTCTGCGGCTTTTGTCAGCTGGATTTGAAGAGCGAACTTAGTTGAGCGAAATGCCTCTCCAAACATGTATGGAAAGCTGTTTCCAACCACAAAGGTTCATTGGAGACCTCTTTCTTGTGTGCCGACAGGCCTCCCAAAGTACAAATGCTCCCCCAAACTCCGGACCCTTCTGCCCCCGTATGAGAATGAGCCAGCCTGAATAATTCGTGGGCATTTGAGACTCACAGGAATTCATAGGATCAGCCTCCTTAAAAGTTGATGACCCCAATTTGAGTTGATCCGATTCCTTCCGTCCGCCGTCCGCCCAAAGTCAAATCGCGTCCTGCAGGAAGAGCAGCGCCACCTTCGCGGAGGCCTTCGATGGCAAGGCCTCCAAGGAGGCTTCCAACAAGGGGCCATTGAAGTCCTAAGTTCCAGCGCAGGGCTCCAGGTGAGAAAGACCTGGGAGATCTATGGAGATCTGGGAGGTCATTGCATCATTTTGATTGGTCCATTGATATCCATTGATTGGGTTCGTGAATTTCAGGCCGGAGTAGACCTAGATGGGGTGTTTCATTCACTCTTATGCTGATGACTGATGGCAGAGATGGAATGTCAGAATGTCCAAAAAACTCAGCATGAAAGTCCTCTCCCACGAGCACCCCTTCGCTTCACACCTCTTGTGCCCCAAGTCAATCCATTTCCGCTCGCCGTCCCAGTTTGACCCCGACAGGCGCACCGTCCTGAGCTCATGGCACTGAAAAAATCCGACCTCGAAACGGTGGCTTTGGGGAACTCCAGCTCAGTCTGATCCACCCCAACACCCCTCCTCCCCACCGACTGGGAGGCTCCAAGTCGCGTACGCCTCGCCCTCGCGCCGCTCCATGCAGCAGGGAAGGACGTCACGCTGAAGCAGCGTGGCCAGCGCCCGCTGCACGGCCACCTGTCGCCCGGTCACCCGACGGAGCCCGGAGCTGCTGCGCCGCCCAGGCGCTCCAAACCAACCCTTGGCCCCTCAAAATCACAGGGATTTCAGGGGGGCCGGACCGGCCGGACCCCCCTCCGTGTTGAAGGAGTTTCTGGGAGAGATCAGGCAGATGGGCGCGAAGAGGACTCAGGGGGTTCGTGGCACATGGTGCATTCATGGGAGCTCTCCCTGTGTTCTACCACAAGGGTCGGCGACTTCAAGGCCCCCCAATTCGGGTTTGCAATGGCTTGACGGGCGACCACACCCCTGAACCTCTAAGTGGCTACAATCAAAAACCCCAAAACCCGGGGCGCTCTAGTGGTGCTTGGGAGAAGATGTCAGATTGAGGGGGGGGAGGAAGTCTCCCGTTCCCCTGCCCGTTTCCCGCCTTCGCGTTGGCCACCCGGATCACCGGGGAGCCGTGGTCGCACAGGAGCACCGTATCCGTGGGTCTGGGGAAGAAAAGCACGACGCGCCACAAGGGCGCAAGGGCGGAACACAGGTCATAGGTGTGAGGATGAAAGCTGAAAACCCCCGAGTCCTCAGGATTCAGTTGTCACCTGTACTCAGGTGTGAGGTAATCCTGAATTGTTGTTGTCATTTTTGGGAAACCCCTGAGTTGTGGCAGGAATACCTCCCTCCTATATAAATACTTTTTGGGAGTACACGTGAGCACACTGCACACCTGCAAGATCGAAAGCCTGCATGGGCCGTTTGAAGGTCGACAACCCAAGGCTTCATCCTGGTTCCTATCCTGCTATGCTTCCAGACCCCCAAAAAGAATATCAAATTTGAACCCATCTTCTCTTGCATCTTTATCTCTCTCTCTCTCTCCCTCTCGGCAGCGTAAGCGGCTACAACGCAGCCGTCCCACATAAAACACGAGTACATCAATGATGTATGTATCTCTTTCCGTTGGTGCACCGTTTTCATCGACCTTCGAGCCCCCCCCCCACGGGCTGCCCGGCTGCAGCTCGATGTCCTGCAACCGCTCGTGGAGCATCTGAGCCAGTGCCTCGGCGCCGGTCACCTGCGTGGCGACACCGGTGGCTCAACCGGGGCTTAGCTAGATATATGCATATGCTTGGTGGTTGGAAACAGAAGGTGAAGGCCAATGGGGGGCAACTGCCATTGGAAGTGGGTTTTCGATGATGCTTTTTCTGACCTCTTTGGGACCAAGCTTGGAGCCGGGTCCATGTGTCTCCCTGCCTCACCACCAAAGAGTGCAGGGCAAAGGCACACCAGCGGTGCGCCCATCTCCACCTGTGATCACGGAGGCCGCCAAACCCGTGTAAGGATGACTTCCGCAGGGTCCAGGTGATATATGAACTAGAGAGGAACCTGGTATGACCATGTATGACCTGGTTTTTAGTCTCAAGCTGCAGGAGTGGGCTGTTTGTTGGTGCCGAAGGGACGAGGATTCCACCAAGCCATGTTGGTTGGTTGGGGTGGCAACGCCTTCCCACAAAAAGAGGTGGTGGAAAGGCTTGGTAGTCTTAGACAGTTAGGTCATGTTAGGTCATGTTAGGTCTCTTGGGTGGTTGTGGAGCTGCTTCTCTCGTCACCATGCGTTGTCCCAACCAATCATGGATATTTTGAGTAGTGATATCAATTCCCAATTGTCCATCCGCTCGCCACAGCCTCCAGTCCGCTGTGTGCTCGGGCAGCCGTAGGCATTGATTTGGTCAATGTGTCGCTGGGGCCAATGAGCAGAGGCAGTAAACGCACCTCGAGTGATCAGCCACAAAAAAGGGGGCGGGGGGGGGCAAGATTGGTGGGCAGTTGAGGCATGCGACATTAAAACAAAGCAAATGTCCCAACACATGTCTTCTTTTTCCAACAAAAACATATGTTTTCTTCTGTCAAATCTCTTCAACATTTCTACATAGCTGGCTTCATCGTTCACCTCCGCGACGGACATGGGGCACCTGGCCATCGGACAGAGACACATGCGCTCACACCATCCGCCCGCCTGGGCTGCAGGATCCTCCTCGCTCACCCGCTTCAGCCAGCCCTCCAAGACTTCCCCTTTGCGCCCGTCCAGGTGCTCCGCCTTGATGCGATCCTCGGATCGAGGGAGTGGAGCGGAGCGGATTGGGGACCTGAACGGAGAGTTGTGGTGTTCCTGGAGGTGGGGAGGAGGTTCTTTGGGGGAATGGGGCCACCTGGCGAAGTTGGCGAAGTTGCCTTAGGATCAAGAAGGGAAAAATGATGAAAAATCGAATGAGGGACCCAAAAAAACGAACCACTGAGAGTGCAAGAGTGCCAGCTCCTTTGCCGACCCGATGCCATATGCAGCATGCATGTTGAAATCTCCAAGTGATCGATCAAACACCGCCCGCCTTAGAATCCAAAATGCTCTACATAACCATAACCCAATGCTCCGGTGTCGTCCGATTACCAGGACTTTCTTCGATGGCGCCAGCGATAACAAGCAGCACCATCTCAGCCGGTCTATCCCAAGAGTGCCCTTCGGCCAGTGGACAGCTTCAAGGAAGGACGTGACCTCCATCTTCCGCTCCTCACTCGCTCTTCGCATTGTACCATTGTTTCATATTGTTTCTCCGCCTGATCCTACCTGTGCCTCCTATACCATCCTCACCCGGCCCACTCCCTCCACTCCCTCCACTCCTCTGCCACACCCTTCACGTCCCGTCCACCGCGAAGCGTGCGGAGACCGCCTCCACCTGCAGCTGCGAGCGCTTCGACAAGCTGCTCGCTAGGCGCCGCAGTGACTTGGTGGCCTCCAGGTGCCAGAGAGTCGAAAGAGGTCGTGGACCCTTGCAGAGCAGTTTGGCAGCTGGGCGGTCAATCCCCTTCCAAAGCCTTCCAAAATGAAGGCTTATTGTTAGGGGGATTGTCCCCATAGGGCCATAGGGAAGGGGATTGAACCGCCCAGCTGCCAATTCTCCTTCCCCCATCTTCTCCTTCCCAGCTCCGGTGCCCGCCTCAGGCTTTAACGAACCATTATCCACCAGCGCCACCCGCGTGCGCCGCCCTTTCCTTCGTTTGGCCTGCAGGGGGAGGGATCGACTTGGACCAAGCATCACCGACCAGTGCCCCCTTCCTCCGACAAACCTGGAAGTGCAACAGGCCTTATAAGGCACTCAAGCTGCTCCACCAAACTATGCCGAACACGGATGAACACGGACCGTCATGCAGCACTGACCGTCCAAATCCGGCATCGTCCCATGGATTTCAGCAGTGGGGCCCTCCCCTTCGACACGGAGTGAGGCTCCTGCAGTTGTACCAAGGCCAAGGCCACGCCGCTGCCCAGCCCAGCAGCCAGCAGCAGGCTAAGCATTCGGTCCATCCAGGAGCCCACCAAGGTGGGCGTGAAGCTTCCAGAAGCTAAGTTGGATTTGGAAACAATTTCTATGACTTCCTCCAAGCTCTTGGACGGAAGAATGATTGAAAGCTAGAACCGGGAGAATGGTAGCCAGGGTTGGTTTGGGGGACTTCTCGCTGATAGACTCAGGTCGAATGTGACCCTGGAAGAGTGTTTTCCTCTACTCGCCAAGTGGTTTTCAGGATCCATGTTAGTTTTCAGTGGGGTAAGGCTTGAGTCAAGACTCTGGAATTTGACTGTTGGGCTCTGTCCAGAACTGGTTCACGTGGAGTCTAGCCTTCCAGCTGCCATCTGACTTTGGAAAAGGGTATTGACACTTAGAGCAGAAGGCTCTTGATCTTCGACTGTGCTCCTTGGCCTACCTTTTTCGGCCCGCATCTACAGCCAAGCTCTGCATCAGTGGGCATTGACCTGCTACATGAGCACATCTCCCAAGACCCAACAACTCATGAAACTGTTCAACAAACCCTTGCAGTGTCCCCACCCCAAAAACTGGTTCCCTTTAGAGACTGCCCCAGCCCAGTTGTGCCTAACTGCGCCAGAAATACCTACCGGGCCTACCGCACCGACCAAACTGATTCTTTCGATTCAGCCATGAGGATTCTTGGTAGACTCCCATATGGATCATGTGGGGATTCGATCTTAAAAGCCTCGCAGAAGGGCACCAGCTTAATTAGCCAACCAAGCACCCCGCCGATTGTAGTCCTTGCGGACCCTGCGGCGAACACCATTTTTCTATGTATGTGTTTTTCTTCTTTCCGGCGGATCCCTCTGGTGGAGGGTCTGTCGTTCATGGATTTTTGGGTGCTCCCAACGCACACAGGCTCTGCCCAAAGATGTTCTCAAACATGGGCATCATCTCATCTAGGAATCTAGGCGAAAATAGACTAAACATCCCAAACATCCAAAGTATCAACTTTGATCCAACAATCCCCCGAACGAGTGATAGAATGCTCCAACCGGCGCCCCGAATCTCCCCTCACTCGAGGATCAACCGGAAGATATGCACCAGGCTCCGGGGAGCAGGCTCGGGGTGTAGATGAAAAAGCCCGTGTACTTCCCTGCGTTCCAAAACAAACCCATGTATGTCTGGCTGCTCCCAATCTTGGGGTAGGCCTTCCGACTAACGACATGCAAGTGAGATACTGAAGGCTCGGAGGATCGTCGTGCTTCACCCTTTTGGAGTCCGTGAGGCCGAAGCAACCAGGAGATCTTCGGTCGGTCACGTATGGAAGCACCAGGTATGGAAGTGGTGTACCCATGAAACACTTGCGGAACACAAGGTAGAAACGGCCTTCCCAACACTCTATCACACCTGATGCAGTACGTCAATCATCAATGCAGCAAAAACAAACTCCGAGCCTCCGAGCCTCCGCCTCCAGTGTGCAGTTTCAACTAGCGGAAGAGCATCATGACAAGTTTCGGACCTTCAAGAGTCCGAAGATCAAGCTACCTAGCATGGACACCCACCCACCAGGTCCGTTTGTGTCACTTCCCCGTTCTCCCATGCAAATTCACCGACTCACTTAACTCCTTGATCTTCAGTAATCCCGATGTGGTGCTGGTTTCCGTTGGGAGCCCCACAGCGCCGGAGCAAACTCTGCACGTGCAAGCGGGTCGTCCACCGTTCCAGTCGCGCGGCCCATGCCGCGGGCAAGCAGGCAAAGACAAGGGGGAGAAGACCCGTTTCCGAACCCGGTCGACCAACGAAGGCAATTCCCGCGTAGCTTTTGTTCTACTTACGGCACACCAACTCACGCATCGCGACCCCGAAGAAGAGGTGGGTGGAGTGGTGGGGTGGGGTGCTAGATTGATCAAACGTCGCCCTCCCTCCGAAACAAAAAAACTCGGCGAAGGGTGTCTTGAGATGGCAACCGATGCCACGGGTTCAGTAGTTCGGGTCAGCATCTGCTGCAGTTCCCCCAAGTGTTTTGCCAATCGCCCCAGGACGAGCTGGAAGCGGCTTGACGGCTGTGCTGCGCAGAAAAACGGAGGGGTCCTGGACCGCAAGCAACGCGGTCGGACCGAAATCTGTACAGCGTACAGCTGTGCTGGGTTTGAAATCCCCTTCCTTGAAACAGCTGCAGCACCCCCCTTAAGAGGCTCCCTTTCGAATTCGCTTGTTCACCTTAACATCTTCATCAGTGGCTGCCACCAGCTTCAAACAGGATCAGTCAGAACTTCACTCGTTCGTTCGACCACTGCTGCCTCTCTTATGGTGGCTTTCTTCGAAGGCCTCTCGGAAAAAGACGGGGGCCGCCGCCACGATCCCCTTGAAAAGGCCACATCTCCGCGCCGCATTCCGCGCAGAGGAGCCGAGGACCACAGGCAAGTTGAGGCAAAAGGGTGGTCAGTCACCATAAGGACCAAGTGGAGAGACACCACTCTCCCATCCTCACCCACCATCCATGAATCAGGAGGGAGGAGGCTTTAGGGAGAGGTGATGTTCATCTCCAGGGCATCTTTCTCAAAGCAGTCTCACACAACCTGTAGGTGCAGGAACCTAGCAAACCTCCCTGCTACATCTGCGTGGGCACCTAGGGTGACAGGGCTATGGTACTGGTAAGGAAAAAGGCCTGCTTGTAGTACACTGATCAAGGGCCAAAAGTAAAAAGCCTGCATCCAAAAGCGCCAGAAGACTTGCTGAATATCTGGCTAAATACAACAATCGTGTCCTCAAGGTCCTGGCCCTGGGAAATTTCGGACACTTGTCTGGGATCCTAACCAGGTGAGCCTGTCTGGCCTACACAGGCCTCGAGGCCATGGCCCTGAAACCAGAATCATCCTTGAAAGGGATACTGACCACGTCGCGGAGAGCAATTCGAAGGCGATGGATTCAGCGATGCGGAGCGCCCATCGCATGGGGACCGTCGGGCAGATCGGAGGCCAATCTGCTCCGGTCGGAGCTCGAAAAAGGAGGGGTCCAATATCTTCGAAGATTCTTCACTATGCTGCTGGCGGGGTTCGGGAGTAGGGCGTCCAGAGTCCTACCCATGCACTGCCATGCACTTGGAACCAGGAACCCTTCTCAGGCACAGCTTGTTGAATCTCCAAAAGCAACCCTTGTGATATCTGAGACCTAGGAGGCAACCAGCTTTGTTAGCCCGTTGCCTCTATCAACCAGCAATGATGTATGGATCAAATCCAGCCCCGAAGAGAAGGAGAACACAAGTTCGGGTCCTCCAATGTTGTGAACTTATCCATCAGCTCCGTGGCCAAACTGCTCGGCCAAGGCTTATCGGAGCGTTTAACCCCAGTGACGGCCCCAGTGAAGGAGGCGGTGTGTATAAACCGGGTCTCGGCTTCTAGGACCTCTTTCAGGCACCCACTTCCTTTCTCCAAGACCGGCCCCAAAAAAAAACGAAATCACCGCAGGGACGTCCATGGCTCTGGGAACACCTCCATCTGTATCTCGAGTTCCGCAAAAAAGGCTCGGCACCGCCCTAGCCCGGAAAGGATGGCTTGGGCATGGTGGCTGCTGCTCGTTGGTGAGTCGTCGGTGGGTTTCGTTGAAGAAAGTGCATACATTTGGCACACCTGCATGTTCTACTGGAAGTGGCGCTGCAGGGAGCCAATACACGGTGTTTCATACACGACCTTTGGTACAAACACACACCAAGTCGACCACCATGCCGCTCGTGCAAAGGCTTCTGCTAAGGCTTCTGCCACCGGCTGGCCCGCTCTTGGGGGTTGGGCCGGGAATGTGACAGGTGCCAGGGACAAATTCAGAGCCATGAGGATCACAAAATGTCCCTACTAGGTGGGAGGCCATCGCTATTAGGTTGGAGGCCATCGCTGATGGCCTAGTTCCGTTAAAGGGGCCGTACCCAAAGTAGAGGCCGTCCAAGGTATATAGATGGAAATGATGCCAATACTCAGCACGTGTTTCAACGTGAAGATTTGTTGCTATTCCTATCCTTCCAGTGGTTGGCATGATTCAACACATCCACATAAACACAACGCCAATTGCTGATTTCGAAGATCCAATCATGGTGCCAGGCAGGAACCCAACCAACTGAAATCGTCTGCTGTACGGCACGGGTCTCTTGGCGTCTGCTGCGTTCCTGGCATCTCTCACTGTTGATTCATGAAATGCGTCACCAGCCCCACACGCACCAACGAGTTCACTCCCACGGCGGGCGCGTGCTTGAGGAAGGAGGGGCCTGCTGCCCTGCACCGCGAGGAAGGACTGCCCTTCTGGTGAGGCTACTGAGCTACTGGAAATTCGAGGATGCAAGTCTCATGAAATCATCCCGTTACATCGGATGTTGAAGGATCGACTCGCCCAAAACGTTCCGCGAGCGTTTTGAGCGACCCTCGCAAAGCACCAGTTTTGATTCCGGGGGGGGCCAGGGGCTTTTGGTACCCCAGCCTGACCATGGCAAATCACCCCCAAAGCTCAAACCGTCACCCACCTGTGCTGTAGGGGTCCTTCAGCGCAACTTGGCCCCACTGTCCCGCATAGTTTTGCAGCGCCCGCAAGACTGACCCACCATCTCTGCTGGAAGAACCCTATAACCCCAATCGCCTTCAATCCATTCTGCTAATCCATCAGCTAACCCTCTCAAGTCCCTGAACCTCCCCCCAACTCATGCAATCCACCCCGTGTCCCGTCCGGTGTCCAACCACCCCGCACGCTTGTCCCGGTGCGTCCCGTTCCTCCTACGGAGGTCTCCGCTCGCCTGCAAAAGGCCTGGAACCGCTCGCGGCGGTTGGTGTCCGACCTGGCTCGAATGCACGGTGCTCACACCGGATGAACTGGATATGGAGCGTATCGGTGCTGGAGACTCGATTTGTTTTACTCTGAAACGACTGCGTGCACTGAAAATGCCAAGACCAGGGCGGTCGTGAAGAGATCTCACGGGATCTCAGCCGCTCCGCCGCAACACGTTTTGCGTGGCTGGACACTTACCACCAAAGCAAAAGGAAACAAGAAAAGAACATCCTTCCAACTCAGCCAGTGAGTTCCGATTCGTTTCACTTTCTCGGCCCAAAGACTCTGGATGAGGCAACATCCTGCCCGGAAACCCCCCTGTTGCCAATTGAAGAGTAAGGTTGCACTAAGGTGCCAGACAGGCATCTGTTTTCTTGTTGTTGTCTTATCTTTTCTGTCTCGTTCTTTATTTCTTTTGTTCTTTTTTTCTTTCTTTCTTTCTTTTTGTCTTTCTTTCTTTTTTTCTTTCTTTCTTTCTTTCTTTCTTTCTTTGTGAAGATTCATTGTTAGAGCCAAAACTCGCGACCAACAACTTGGAAGAATCATTCGCACAATGGAAGATTCGAACGCGACAATACAACAGCATTGCCTGACCAAGTCAACGTGGCAACCCTTCTCAACGAGACAACTGGACCTGTACAACAGCATCTAGCATCTAAAATACCTTGCAGGGACAACCAAGACATACAACGAAACCAAAAGACACAATCATGGAGTAGCGCCGAGCAACAACAGCCTTCAGTATGATGAGGGCACAACAACCTTCACAATCTTCAAGCATTGTACCTTTTTGGCCAAAGTTTTATTTGGAAACTAAACAGGTGATCTTCGGAAACTTTACGGTTTTCTTCGGAAACTCTACGGTTTTCTTCGGAAACTAATCTTCGGAAACTACGCGGTTTTCTTCGGAAGCTTTACGGTTTTCTTTGGAAACTTCTCTGTGGAAACTAATCTTCGGCAACTCAAAAGTTATCTTCGGAAACTTTAAGCTTACGGTTTTCTTCAGAAACTAATGTTGGGAAACTACGAAGAGTCGAAGAGCAACATCAAGCCTGCACGAAAAAGTTTCTGCAAATAGAAAAATAAGCATGTATATACTATATACCGTAGCCGCAGCCGTGACAAGGTACGTCAATAAACCACCCACCCACCCACCCACCCACCTACAATATTGAAAAAAGTTCTGAGGAATACTTTCTAAAGCATGCAAATAAGTTTCTGAGGATCGCCAAATAAATTCGGAAGATCGCAAAATAGTTTCTGAAGATCGCGAAATAGTCTCCGAAGATCGCGAAATAGTTTCTGAAGATCGCGAAACAGTTTCTGAAGATCGCAAAATAGTTTCTGAAGATCGCGAAACAGTTTCTGAAGATCGCAAAATAGTTTCTGAAGAATAGTTTCTGAAGAGTAGTTGTGGAAGAGTACCAAATAGTTGCGGAAGAAAAGTTTCAGAAGAATGGAGAGTTGCGGAATAGGACTTTGTTCGTACCGTTTTTGGCACGATGTGCGTACAAAAGTTCACACATCGAGGGACGGTGTGAAGATACAAGTTGTTTACAACAACCTCACTGTATGATGTAGTACTGCAGGCACCTTAAGCTCAAGGTCCAATACAGCTGCCCATACAAACGACATTCACTTTAACATCTATCTATCTACCTCTCTCTCTCTCTCTCGGCTTAGCTCTCTCGCTGCCTCATCATCTACGAGCTTTTCGGGAGACGGCTAAGACGTGCCCACCTCTGTGTGAGGGCGCTGTGCGCGTGCACCACGGATTGTGTGAAGCATCCTGCAGCAGGGTGGATGAATGGGCGAGTGAATCTGTGATGCTTTTGGTCCACCCCACAGCCCCAACAAGACACAAAAGCATACAAATGCCACCAAGCATTAGAGGAAAATGTGGCAGGTTTCAATCTCTGCCACCCGCAGGAACGTCACAAAGGAGCCCCCTCGCCATCCCAAAAACCCATCACACACTTTGGCACCTTTGGGGGGGGGGTGAAGGACTTGCCCGGCCACCGCTGTCCCCGCACCCCACCGGCCCTGCCGGCTCCTGCCGCGCAGCCGGAGGCGAACAGGAGGCCATAGCTGCTGGGCGCTCCGCAGCTCTGCCCGATCTGCCGGGCCAAGTCGATCGTGCACCTGGCGCGCGCTCTTCGGCGCCGTGGCCTCTTCGGCGTTCGGAAAAGAGATCCGTTCGGCATCCCTCTCCCCCCTGCTTCCGAGAGGCGTTGACAAACATGGTTTGACCTGACCGTGACTGGTGTAAAATCCTGAGTAAGACAATGGTTCTTGGATTCTATTCAATGGCAGGGCCAGGAAGCCGACAATCAGAAAGACAAAGAAAGCCGAACCGGAAAGATTCCCCAGAGAAGTGGCCGGCTTTTCTCTCTTCGCAAAATGAGTGGATCGAAAACCGTGCTTGTAGCGGGTCCAGTCTGCTGCAGTGAACACAAGGTGCCGACTGATTCACTTTTGATTCACAGGCATCCACCCAGGCTTACCTTGTGCCTCTTCTTGTCTACAGACCTGTGTCACCTGCACTCCTCCACAGACCTTCAATCTTCATCTGATGCTGGAACCACTTTCCTCAAATGGCTTGCTTTCGGAGGCCTTCTAGGGGTGAGAGAAGGTCCTGAAACTTCGAATAAACTAACCTTTTCAAGGCTTGGACTGTTCAACGAGTTGCCGTTCCAAACCTTCCTCACCAAGCACAGCCACCACCCCACTCCCGCCACTCCCACTCCGACGGCCGCCACGGCACAGCTCGGCGGCGGCCACGGGGTTGGCGCTCCTCAAGGCCTTCCACCCATGCTGTCGCACTGCCACCAGGGCACTGGAAGGAGAGAAAGGGGCGCCTGGCAAGAGATGCCATGGTAACTCATCCTGCCATGACGCCACCTTTTTCCCCCAGCTTCGCATGCAGTAGCAGGCTTCACAGCTAGCATCTTCCCTGAAACTTGTTGACTGGATCCGGCCACCATCAAGATCCAAAGAATGCTGCCCAATCTCAGCAAATTCACTGAACAACGCCAAGGACTTCAACCTAACCTTCACCTAGATGCTCCAGAAACTCCTCACCAGCCAGACCCCCAAAGTCGTCAGTTCCGCCGACTCACTCTCAGTCCCCCTGGACAACAATTAATAAAGATCCACTGTGTTTTTCGCCTCTTGTTGAAGTGGGGACACTTCATGCCCAAGAAAAGTGTTTGCAGGTTTATCCAGGTACTTCGCGGGCCTAGCCCAGGTGTCGACCCCTCACCTTTGGACACCGAGGGCATCTTCTCGGTGTGGAGCGGATACGTCGCCACGCTGGCCAAGGTCACCTGGGCGAGGAGGACGACCCTCTTTCTCTCGGATCGCCCTGGAAACCTCGTGAAGCCCGTTGGCACGGAACAGATTGTTTCGGTGCCCACTGGTGGACACCTTTTCTTCTCGCACTTGCTCAAAGCTTGCTCTTGCATGTTCTGCAGCAAGCTAGTTTCGCGGGCCACCACCGGTGGACGCCGTTTCTTCCAGGTGTGAGTTGTGAAGTCGGTTGCACTTCAGACTGTGTTGAAGAAACCCATGCATGAGCATCAGATTTAGTTTCATGGTTTTTAAGTAAAAGTGGGTTCATGGCCATGGTCGTTTCGGGGGCTGTGCTCCACTTCCATGCCTCCTGTGAAACCAAAAACAAAACCATGAAAGTCATCAACCAAAGAGGTGCGTTCTCATCCAGCCAAGGTGGCTAGGGAACTCCCAGTGGTCTGTGCCAATAGTCTGTGAGTGAAACACTCAAAAGACCAACGCCGGTCAACCTTCCCAGCTCATGAAGAGAAAAAGACCACGTGAAAATCAAACTAAAGAGATACACGTTGAACATTCTTCAACCTCCGTCGCGCTGGTCATTCCACCGGCATGGCCTTTCACACCTTTGCCAGTCCGACCTTCCACCAGCTTCGCTTCCGCTGCCCTCGCCCGCCGCACCGCCCTACCGCCATTCCTCCCCACCCGCCGGCGGGCGGGTTCCCAGCGCAGCCCAGGGCGCCGCGGCGGAAGCGCAGCTGAGGCGTTCCAAGCAGTTCACCTCTCCCGAGCGATGCAAGAAGTTCACCTCATGCGCTGGTGACCCAGTGACCTGGTGACCTGGTGAGGACGGTTTTCGGGGGGCGCATGGCAGGGAACGCCCCCCAGCCGGGGGCTTGGCCAAGGCCGGTCCTGCAAATCGAAAGCTCGGATAGCAAGCATCCTGGAGAACCAGCGCTCTTTACGTACACCATGTACACAAATCAAAATATAATAAGATATACAGTATGTATATATATATATATACATATATATTGGTTATACAGTTATACAATGTTATACATATGTTGATTGATTGACTGACTGACTCTGACACTGTCTCTGAGACTGACTGTGATTGCTTGCTTGCTTGCTTGCTTGGGGGGGGGGTGGGTGGGGGGGGGGGTCGATCAATCAAAAATGCTACCCCCGGTGCCTACAACTCAGGCACCTTCCATGTGCCAAGATGGTTCTAGCAAAGGCTATCTTGGCTTCACCAAGGCACATACAAGCTGCAGCACAAAGCCCCAAAAGGAAATCCCCCAGAGAACTTCAGCAGGTTCTTGGCCAGAACCTGCACAGCGTCGCCAGTGCGTGTGGAGATCCGCGAAACGCCGGCTAGTTCCAACTTGAAAAAAAGAACGTCCCGTTCCCCCCACGGCCTCCGTACCGAACGACATTTCCACCCCAACACTCCTCGCCTGGGGCGCCTGCCGCACCCCTCCGCGCTTCAGCAAGTCCTCCACACTCCCAGCAACAGCCCGGTGAGCCACGCATGCCAACCCGCCGGCCAACATCGTCTGCCACACCGGCAGCGCCAGCCGTGCCACCGTCGTCTCCTCCACCGTGGCCGCCGGCGCCGGCGCCGCCGCCGGCGCTTTCCTTCCGCGGCCCCAGAAGCGCAGGCGCACCGCGCCGCCGCCGCGAACGCCGAAGCTGCGGAAGCCGTCGCGGCGGGTCACGAGTTCAGGGAGCTCGGTCGCAGCGGCCGGCAGCGGCTCAGGAGCAGTCTCGGGAAGCTCAGACTCCTCGAAAAGCTCCGGCAGCTCGAGCTCTGGCTCAGGTGGAATCGGCTCTGGCAGCTCCTCCGGCTCCTCCAAAAGGCCTCGGAGCTTTCGGCCAAGTCTGGCTAAGGTCCGACAATCATGGGCAAGTGCCAAAAAAGGTAGCTTAGACTTAGTCGACCCTCTTTCACCTTCCCCTTTTGTAAACAGAAAGTTCCTATCATGTTCTATATCCCACCTCCATCCACCACAATCAATCTCCACAAACCCATCGATTCTCTCCCCACGCACCGAACCCAAGCGGCTGCACTCGCTGCCCCCACTGGCCGTGGACGCGCTCGCCGGCGACGTGGGCGCCGGGCCGAGGAGCCACAAACGGCCTTGCCTTGGAGGGAGCGAGGGGCAAGGCCAGAGGTTCAACAGAAATGTTCAACGAGTGAGAACTCACCTCAGCACCTCTTTGTCAGGACAAGCCAAAAAAGGAATATCTTGCTTTCACCACCTGTGTTTGTCCGGTTTTCCATGTGATTTTTCCTATATGTTGCTCATTCAGGTCTTCCTAAAAAGGTGAGAAACAGACCGTGCACCTACAGGACTGGCGGGTGTAAACAAAAAAATGACCCAGGACCCTCAGAGATGGTCACGGATGGTCACAGAGATGCTCATTGAGGGTGGTTGGGTCGATCTCACAGGTCTCCATGCGCCGGTCTCGGGCTTGGGGGGGCCGGTCTCGTAAGAGGCTCAGAATGGGACGCCGAACCGGGCCGATTTCACATGATGTATATGTCGGTCTTCACTCCAGGTGAATCTCTAGGCATAAGCTGGAGGAGTTGGTGGCATAAGCAGTGCGGACTTCTTTGAAGCTGGACAGGCTGGCATTGAACTATGTAGCCGACATGACGGCACAAGCGGATTGTCGTATGGCACCCCATGTCGCTTCAATCTCTCTCAGCCCAAGAAATCGAACCATTCTGGATGGATCTCTGCCCCCAAGCTCCTCCAGCTCAGCCCAGCTCAGCCTTCCACCCTCCACTCTCCTCCGACCCCCCCCCCCGCCCTCCAGACCTCTCTTCCCAGACCGTCCAGGCAACTGGACCGCAAAGTGCACGGCATCCACCTGAAGGTGAGCCTTCAACAACACGTCCTCCGCAGAACACAAAAAAAGCGACGGACCAGGACGCAACTCGCCCCGAAACAAGAAGCTCCAGAAGGGATGGACCAAGTCGGGGGGGCAAGGTCTGTGAAGTCGATTGTACCATCCCCAAACAGGGGTTCGTCATGCCACCGCTTCAAGGACTCTATGGACTCTTTCCGGTGCATTCCCCACCTGTGCATTGCCCAAAAGGCTTCCAAACCCAACTTCTGCCACCGGCCGACCCCAGGACAGGTCCGACATGCCCAGCACGCGGGTTTCGCGGCGTCCTTGCAATGCGCCAGACCGGCGCAAACGGGCAAGAACTTCTCTTCCAAGGACAGGAACTCGGTCTCGCGCACGCTCTCAGAGATCGCATTGGCCTCTCCAAGAAAAAAAAGAACCGCTGAAAACGTCGTCGGGTAACACGAAGCGACCTATTCCCATCACCCCATCCCATCCCACCAAAGCAGCACCAACTCCACGTTTACCAACTCCAACACCCGCCCGCCCCACACCCGCCGTTCTGTCTGCCTCCCCACTTCGTCCCGGACCTGACCGCGACTCGTGCCTTGGCCCAGTCCTGGGAGTGCTGCTTCGACAGCGACCGGCGCGGTCGCTCCGGCAGGTCCTCGCGCTGCGCCTTCGGCAGCCAGGCGCCGTTGAGGCCGGGCTCCTGCAGCTGCAGCACGCCGACGCCTAACGAGCGGGCTGAGGCGGAGGACGATCTCAGTCGGGCTGAGGCGGAGGAGAAGGAGAGGAGGTTCTGGGAGGCTGCAGGAGCTCCTGCAGGTGGTGAAGATCCAGATAGTCATTCCCGACTGAAACCAGATTCACGGGTGGGCGCTCGCTCCGCCCCCCGGCCGGAGTCGAAGTCGTAGTTGCCGAAGACCATGCTCTCGACGATCACCGTGCCCTCCAGCGCCGCCAGGGACTTCTTGAACTGGACTTCCGGGTCCTCCGCGATCGCGACGCGGCGACGTCGCGTGGAAGCCGAAGCCGAAGCTTGGGGGGGGTGTCCATTCCGTTGTACTTGATGTACTTGGTGCTTCATACAAACTTATATGAACTTATATGTTGAAAAACATGTCATATCAAAGTGGACATGGCCTGACAGGGCTACCAGCTCTCCACCCGATTGGGGCGGTGCCGCTGGGTCCTGAGGAAAGGCTTCTCCAGTCTGGTCTTCGAAGATGAGCTTGTAAGTCTCCACCAACTTCTCCAGCCTCACTCGCTTGGATGGCAGGTGAAGAAACCAGAAGAAAGGACAATAGCCAATCATAGCCATTCATAGCCACTAGGCAGACTAGTCAGAAAATGAATTCGCAAGCTCATCCGCCAATCCCTTCCAAACCCTTCCACCAAAACTGCCCCGACGTGCCCCGACATCACCAGCTCGTTTGCCCTGGAGCCCTTCGCCAAAGGAGCTCGCGGGTGGGCAGCTGCCAATCTTCCAAGCGACCACCAAGATGATCCTCCCAGCAAACACTGCTGAAGAGAGGTTGCTTCGGGTCAGGTGGGAGGGGCAATGCCTTGCTTTGAGGCTCTCCCCTTTTACTTCTAACTAACACTCACTCATCCATCCCCCGCCCTGTCAACCCCAAAGCAACTGCTTTCAGCACCGGCACTGGCAGGCACCCGCACTCCGCAGTGCCCTGTCCTTGGTTGCGAGCTGGTCCTTGAGCTTGGAAAGCTCCGCGTCGAAGGGCTCCGCGCTTAGGCGGTGCACCGTCTTGGCATAGGAGACCACCAGGCGGCGGTAGGAGTCCCACGCGCAGTTGGCGTTCTCCTGCAAAAACATGCCGAAATGATGACTGGAACTGGGTTTGGAGTTTCGCTCCTGGAATTCTGGCTGTGCAGAGTCAATCAACCGGCCTATGGCAAACCCGAACTATTCATTTCCGATTGGCCGCTTCAAGTCTCTTCAAACGTTCCTGGTTCCCTGGTACCGTTCTCGTGACTCATCCCAGCATCCCAGCATACGATATCCCCTCCGTCGCCAGTTGCAAGGCAATCTCGTCGGTCAAGCCCAAGTTGGAGATCTCCTAGGCGGACAGACATCATCAGGCTCCCCCAAGAGCAAAGCAGTGCTATTTGGGCTGACTGTACGGTTCATGGGAAGACACTCACCCTTTTGGGAAAGGCCTGTTCAACGATATACTCTTTGTGACTCTAACGCCCCTGGAAAATATCATGGAACGGAATCCTGTTTTGAAACGCAAGGCTGCCCTTAACATGGACCGCTGCCAACATGTTTTTGACCTTGGCCATTAATGTAACTGCTCTTTGTTCTAATTTGTGAGGCGAGTGCAAGCGTGCAACAGCATCTTGATTGACTCGGTACCCACTCTATGCTGGGCATCTATGCCCTCCATCTCATGTCAAGAGAGTGTTGGGAAGTTTGGAGGAGCCTTGCTCACGACTTAATTATTCATTGTTGTGGCACAGAACCCCGAGGCTTCAGGTGCATTTAACATTACAAGGGAAAAACCTGGCTGAAACCCGTTGCTCACGACTTACTCGTTGTTGTGGCCTAGGGCTTCAGGTGCATTTACAAGAAAAACCTGGCTGAAACCCGTTTTTCCCATCCAAAAATCCCTGCCATCCCATGTCGAGGCTCGGTCTGCCCGTTCCGCAGCGATAAGAGCAGCGGTCCACGGCTGGTGTGCTGATGCAAGGCCTGTCAGGTTGAAGAAGGGGCAGGAGACACCCCTTCTTTGAGACACACTGCGGCACCCGCTCATGTGCGTCAAATAATAAGGGTACTCAAATGCATAAACACAGAAGCAAAATAGAGAAAGCCTGGTCTCAGGCAATCGATGGCTGGATGTTTCCAACTGGCCAACCCGCTGTTGCACAATCTTCGTCCACCACCTGAGGAGAAAATCAAAATATGTCCTACATGATGCAGCCTGCAGCGCAAAACCCCACGTCAAATGTCAAACCCAAAAGCTGTTCCTGGACAAGCGGGCTGCTCAAGGAGTTCGCTTTTCCTGGACACACTCTCCACGAGGAACACTTCCAAGAACTACTACAGGTACTGACATTCTGCAATGTATGTCACTTACGAAATCTAGTCACCTAGTCGCAAAACCCAAGCTCTTTATGGGGAGATTGCTCCAACAAGTGGGGCGCCCTTGGCCGAAACAAAGAAATGGAAGCACCCGCCAACTCCAACCCCCCAACTCGGCCTCCAACTGCCTCAAGGCCATTTTCGCCTCGCCCCACTGCGCTCCATCCGTGAGGCAGAACCCCCGTGGCACCGGCAACCCCAGCGCCGCCATCTCCAGCAGCCCCGCTCCGGCGGGGCCCAGCGCGCGCTGCACCCCGCGCGCGCCGGGCGCGGAGGAGGTGTCGGTGTCCAGGCCGAAGAAGCAAATGTTGGGGATCTGCTCCTGACAGAATGCTGAAGAAGGAGCTTTCTCAGGAGCTTTCTCAACCACTTTCGCACCCTCCTTTGTTCTCTTACCCCTTTCGGCGGGTCTGGTGGCTTTCTTTTTTCTGTATAAGTCCTCTAAGGCCCGCTCCCTCCTCCGGAATTGCGAGATGCAGCAAGCTCTCATAGAAAGGAAGAGGACGTGCAAACGTCCCAAACGTCCCCAGTCACGGAATAGGACGTGCAAAAAAGCACCCATCGAAGGAGAAAGTGGAAGATCTTTACCCTACAGCCTACAGGTCAAAGACCTCATTTTGTTGAAATTGATTCCATCCCCAAAGATTTTCCTACTCAATGAGGTTTTCAGGAAAGGTTTTGCTGGGTCGGACTGGACCTGTAGGGTCAGCAAACCGCCCCGTCTCCAACCATGCCCACCGCGCTCCAACTCCATCTGTCGCGAAGGCTTCAGGTCGGAGCCCAAGACGCCCTGCAGGTGGTGTTTTGGGGCAAGTGCAGGGTAGCGTGTGAACGTTCCAGCCATTCTTTGCTGAGTGTTACCCGCCAGAGAGATTGAACAGGCATGGTTCGCCTATCCCATATGTACCACGAAGAAGGGTCCCAGTTCAGGTCTCTCAACCTCTCTTGGTAGGTGTTGACGGGGTGTTCACTTCTCAACTCAATGAAACTCAAACTTCAATGAGCTCTATGAGGCCAGGCATCCAGGGACAGTTCACAGCGGTGGACATCAGAATGAACTCCAAGCAGGGAAGAACTATTCTAACTCTGTGTGTGGAACTTTGGGCTATGCTTTTCGAGTATCGAATCTAGTCCATGTCTGTCTGAAACCCGAACTTTGCGGTGAGACTTGAGACAGGTTCCATCAGATCACCAATTCCTACACCCTTGCGGTTGGTCAAAACCACCCCATGACCATGAGACAAAGCCAGCCCCAATAGCGCAGTAACTCCAAACCAACACCGCACATGCAAACAGTCTGCGCCCTATGCATGCCTTGTCCAGGAGCACGTGTTTGATCTTCTTCTGCCTGGAGCTCTCCTCAAAGGCATCGCCTAAGACATCGCTCAAAGCGCTGCCGCACTGCTCGATGGCCTGTTGGACCACCTCCTCGTCTTGCAGGGCCTGAGCGGGTGGGGAGGAACTGGAGACAGCATAGATGATTGGAGTTCCAGCTCCGGGGTCCATGTCATGTGGCAGAGGCAACGCAGTCCGGCACCTGCAAGGAGGTTCCAGAACACACTTCCATCCATCAGCTAGACAAAAGAATGTCCTAAATGTCAACTGAATGTCAAAAAAACTCATACCATTTCCCACCAACTAACCACAAACCACGAGCTGCGTCCTCCTGGTTACGCCGCACCGGATTTTGTCCACATCATCCTCCCATCCCCACATCCTCCACATCCCCGCCAGCCCCGCCAGGCCTCCTCCACGTACTTCAGCACATGGCCGTTTCGCCCGGCCGCCGCCAGCACGAAGCTCCGCTCCCTCCGCAGCTCCTCCGCCGCGAAGGCGAAGGCGCGGCCGCACTGCGCCACCGCGGCCAGCGCCAGGGCGCGCTGGGCGCGCAGCGCCGGCGAGGCGAACCTGGCGGTTGGAGGGTGGGGACTGGGTGCCCAGAGGGGGAGGCAGTGGTGAGGTGAAGGTCATCGATGGTCAACCGATGGAGGGGGGCTGATGAGATGAGGCTGGGTCTCAGTCTTCGTCGCGGTGTCTTGGGGATGGATGGTTGTTTTGGGGAGAAGGCTATGCATGAAATCGCCCGAGGTCTGAAGCTGCTTCAACACCAAGTTGCTGCAAAGCTAAGCCGTTCTGCTGCACAGCAGCTAATGCCACATCCTCCATGCACAGAGGCCAGGTTCCAAGCTGATTTCGGAAGTTTGGGTTGGTCTGAGCCTATGGGGCAGAAGCGTTTAATGGGTGCTGGAACTTGACGTGAAACCACGTAAGATCGAACCACGCGTGGAAAATGCCCAAGTTGCTTAAAGAAGTTCCTCATGTTCCAAATGCCTGGCATGGCATCCTGTTCACTCCAATTTCTTTATAAGGGGGGTAAATAATCAAGAGCCTACATTAACCTCACCAAAACGAGATGTCCAGGTGCACCCAGCTCATGATGAGATGACTCACTTACTAACTAACCCTCGCGCGCGCGCGCGTATATCGGTCTGTCCTGGTCATTCTTCAGCTCCTCGGATGCATAGCGCAAGGCCCAACCGCAAGAGCTCACTGCTGCCAAGACCACCGACTTGTCCTCCCAAGCCTCAGAACGCGAGTCGCGGGTCGTTTTCGGCATGGCTGGGGGCTTGGGGAGTTGGAGCACCAGCAGGCAAGTTGGACATAGATGAGGTATCGCTCTATCACATTCAAGTGAACACACCAAACAGTGACAAACATCCTACAGATTGCTTTTCCAATGTTTGACCCACACTCCTGGCTACATACCAGTGGTCGGAGTTTGGAGCAACTCCCGATGAGGTATCGCCACGTCCGACTATGTCCGACCGCGACCGGCCTCAGCGGCCTCATTCAGCAACTCACTCCAGTCCTGGAGAAGGTCAGTGAAGCGGCGAGGTCGGTGGGCCATCCAAGTTCGGTCGAAGTGATGTGTGTGTGACGAAGAAAAAAGCCCCGAGCTGCATACACCAGGCCAAGCAGGTTTGGGGTCAGGAACAAAAAAGGAAGTGGGTCCTTTTATGGCTGCCCAAGCTGCCAAAAGCTGCAAATTGTCTCGGTCGCGTGTATGCTTCGAGATCTTTAAGGGCGGATTATGTTACTGTTCACGTCGACCACCTCAAAGGTCATCTGCCTCTGGCGGAGCTTGATTGAAATTCCTAGCTTCCTCCAGCTGCACCAGTAGGTTTTCACATTTCATGTCTCGGAACCCGGGCTTCCCAAGACGAAAATTCCCCACCCCAAAACTACCAGCAGCCCATCTCCCGGCTCCATCTCCTCCTCGGCGATGCGCAGCCACTTCACTTGCTGCTCGCTCCGTCGCACCAGGGTCACCTCGCGAGCGCGCGAGCGGCCTTCCAAATTTGCTGAAGGAGCCTAAGTGTCTCTTCAAATCTGCAACCAGCCCACCAACCCGCAAAACATCCCACCAACACCTCCAAGCCGCACCCCCAAAGCCCATAACATCCTACTACCCTCCCCAGCTGCCCTTTCAAGCCCACTCCACTAAACTTCCCAACAGCTCTCCCTTCCCTTCCCTCGGTTCCCCCCGCCTCGGGATGTTCGCTCGCGAGGAGTTCCAGTGCTTCGGTGTCCTTGAGCTCGCGCAGGCCGCAGATGAGGCGCTGCTCCAACGGCTCCAAGCCACGGGCCTCGGATCGGACCAGCCACCGGTGGGTGGGTGGGTTGCTGTTTGGGTGCATTTTTGGGGACTGGTGTTCTGTGTGTGTGTTCTTTTGGGCTTGGGGATTGGTGTTCTGTTTGGGTTACTGCATGTGTTTTCTGGGGTTCTTTTCTGCGGACTGTCGCACTGTCTTTCACGACCTTGAGCAACACCACCCGCACCAAAGAAGAACCCACAAACAAGATCTTGCGGCGTTCTGAGGGCGGCACTTGAGAGATGGCCTCCTTCAAGTTCCATGTCGTCCAGCCCTCCTCCACCTGGATCTGGCACAGCTCCCCTGCTGCGCCATTCACCGCCACGTACCGCGCCATGGACGCCGACGCGGTCTGCGGCGCCCCTGCCATCTGCAGGGGACGCGCCGCCCCAATCGTCTGCAGACGATGGGGGCGGCGATCTTGAAACAAAGGTGCTACGGGAGCGAAGCGCTCTCAGTGTCAAGCATCTCTGGCTTCAAAGGCTTTGTTGCTGGCATCCCTACCAGCTACATCACTAGCTGAGATCTTTGGAACCGGACTTGTCCCACTGCAGCTAGCTACACTTAAGAACATCACCTCCGGTTGGACGTTGGACTGGATGTTGTCCCACCCAGTTGGTCAGCACTTGTTTTCCCGAAACCGCGTTGTTCCGGCTGGACACATGCAAACTCGCCATGACAAGACCCTGACTCCGCTTGTCAAAGAACAACTCAGCTGGTGCTAGTCCGTCTTCTTGAAAATGAATGCACAAGAGGTCCCGGGCAAAGCGCAAAGTGAGGGTCAACGCACGCGAGTCTCTGGCTTGAACTGGGTCACAATACCTACCGTACAAAGCTGCTTCGGAAGGCTCAGGTGGGAGGAGCGCTCTCTTTGTCTCTGAACGTTCCACAGCCCGGCGGTGTCCGTGTTGAAAACCAGTGAAGCAGCGGATGAAAACACCACATGGCATGAAGACGAGGCTACGGGATCCACCTGACGAGTCTTCAATTTAAACCAGCACCATCGTCACCACTAGTTTGAACTGGCTTGCCTGTGAGCGCCTGCTCCACCAAAGCCGCAAAGCCCTTTTCCACGGTTCAAGGGCTGGCCGTCAGGCCATCCATAGCGTTCCTACGCTAAGCCTGCAAAAGGTTCCAGCCTAAAAGGCAAACGGACATGTCAGGTGAGCCAATCCGTGAAAATCACACGGATCAAAATCTATGTTGGCTCAACTGACTCTGACTTCGCCTACGGTGACCTCGGGAACCGGGACTTTGGCTTCGCAGCGGCACGGAGTCCTTGGGACGCACCTGATGCGATCGACCAACCCTCGTCATCTGTGGCAAGGTGGTACTGTTCAGCCAGTCCACTAAGTTCCATCACCAGCTCCGGCTCGGCGCCGAATTCGCGAAGCATCATTTGAAGGTACTTCTGCCTCCATCCCGGTCTTCTTGAATTCTTCCTCATTTTTGGCATACCTGTAGGTCATCACCTCCATGAGTGCCCTCATCTCGATCTCCTTCAGACCTTTGGTGTCGATCTTCACCATCTTGGCTGCTTCTACTGCTCGTGCGATCAAAACTTCTGAGCCTCGTGTCTCTTGCGGTCGTCGCTTTCGAATCGCCCTCTGCTCGGCAGCGTTTTGAAGCATCACACTCTCATTGTTCAGATGGTACTGGTTACTAGTAATAGCTCCTCTCAAAACATCCATTGCATCTGCGTTTTCCTTTGTTAGAGCGTCTGCTAGTTGTAGCCAGGTTGGTGCCCATCTGATAGTTCCCCAAACTCGTTTCATCGTTTCCTTCACTACGATCAAATCGATGGCAACTCTCTTGTCTGAAACACTACTTGGGGACGAGTATGTCTGTAGATGGTCATAAATACTCTTGCAGTCTGTGATTGCTTGAATGCAAAACTCCTTGATGAATTTAGACCGTTGCTCCAATGAAAACTCCGGAAAACGCAGCTCTGCTAAATGACAAGCAATCCATTCGGTATGTCCCAGTCCGTCCATTAGAGCTTGAGTCTCTCCAGCAAAAGTTGAACCAACGACCCTCTTTAGCCTGTACGATTTCCAGGTTGCTGGTGCCCATACTGCTGGTGCTCCGGTCCGAAGTTCATCTGTTGTCACTCCAACAATGTATCCTGCTTGTGTGCCTTGCTTTCTGGCGTTTGCAAAAGCCGCATCTGTGTGCAAACAAAGTCGGATCTTGTCAAAATGGATCGGCACAATCTTCCAGGTTAGGTGCTTGTACTGTTTTGCTCTTTGGGTGACATTGGCAACTGTTCTGGCTGCACCTAGTGTTGGGGACGGCATGAGTTGTTGTCCCTGACTCACCTGCACCGCTAGGTCAGGGCGCGTTTCCTTCGCCAGCCAGAGTCCTGCTCCAAGCACTGACTTCAAGGATGTTGCCTCCTCTGCATTCACTGTTGTCGTCGCGTCCTCCTTTGTCCTCAATTTGGGTTTCACCATGTTTTCTGCAAACTGTTCCTGGCTCACTGTGATTGCACCTGTTTCATCCTGTGTCAAACTTGATCCACAGAAAGTCCCCTTTCCGACCATCCACTTGCGAAACGGGAATTGCTGTTTGAGTTGAGCTAGGGCCTTCTCAAAAACGTCCCCTCTGCCTCCGAGAACCACATCATCGACATGCACCCCCGTGACACCTCCCAGCACAGTCTCCCCTCACTTATGCCTTCGGTCCCATAACATGTACAGACATGGATCTAGTCTCGACGGTTGCCAACCCAACTTGCGAACAGTCTCGTCGAATGTACTGAACCACTTTTGTGGGCTGTCGTTGAGGCCGTAGAGTGGACGTTGCTCCGGATCGTGATCGGGCAGCTGGACCTGACATCCACAACCTTTGATCCCTTTTTAGCTCCTTTGTTTCTAGGAATGCTCCTGTCACATCGCCCAGCTGTAATGTGAACTGGTTGCTCGCGATGACCTGCAACACTGTATACCTCCCGTTTGTTGAGATTGTCGGAGATTGTGTTTTTCCACTGCGGACTAAGTTCAAGAGGTCGGGGTCCTTGTCTCCTCGTGCTGTCCACCTTGCTTTCACGATCTGTTCACCGGTGTCCTCTGTTTTCTGTGTCAACACCAATCGACTAGGAATCACACGTTCTGGGTGCTGCTGTCGGATTCTCCTGGATTCGTCAAGTGAGCAAGGTCGTAAAGCAGGTTTTTCTTCAACACAGTTCCTCACCTCCTTCCTCACTCCCCGGACCAACAGTTCCTGCCCTTCTTGTGATTTCCAATAGTCCTCCTTTGGGTTGATCTCCTTTCTGCCTCCTGCCAACAACACATGAACCTCTCCTGTGGAAGTCTCCTCACTGCACAACACAAAATTTCCATCCTCACATGCCCCCTGCTCGTGAAGTGCCACATTTTGTGCTGCTGAATCCACTGGGCCATTGACTTGTGTTGTAACCAGTGCTGATGTTCCGGACGAAGCAATGCTTGACCCACTCGATACTGGTACTGGTGGCAAACTCTGTGGTGTTGTTGGGACTGGTGGCAGACTTTCCGGTGTTCTGGGTGCATGTTCTCCTGGTGGTGTCGGTAGTGATGGTGGGAACCTAATCCCTCCAACATGTTGCTCTGAACGGCTCCTTTTTGGCTCTGGTTCACTGCCGCGAGGTCGACAGTGTCCATCCAGTCGGTCTGCACGCTCCGAGGACTCTTTCCAGGCTTCCCGCTCCGTGGCACTTAATGACTCCAGCTGGTCACTCAGTGACGAATTGATGGTCATTGGTTGGCTCCCTGACCGACGGTCTGGTGCTTCTGGATCGGGCTGCAAGCCCTCTGGTTGGGGTTGTCCCAACTCTGGTGCTTCGGCTGGTGTCTCCGGAAATAGGTCACCTGGTGGAAAGTCTTCTTTGGTAATGTCAATGAAGTTCTTTTGGGTCTTGTTGGATGGCCCCACCTCCGGAAACAACTGTGCTGCCGCCGCTCTAATATCTCGGACCAAAAACCGGTCAGCCTCGCGTTCCGTAGCTGTTCTTAGTCTAAGCTGCTCTGGGGAACACTTGATGAAAGACCCGGGCATACTGACCCAAAAATTTCCTCCTGCTTCACCTGCAACGATTCCAGGTCCTCTCCATCGGGCCATATTCTTCTTAATTCCCCTGCCACGACGCCAAACTGCTACCTCATCGCCCGGTCTGAACTCCCTCTTGGGTCTGGGTCTGGTATTCAATGCTATGCGGGCTGCCCGGTGATCCAGTGATTGGAGAACTGCCTCGCGAGCTTTCTGCCGTGCCCTGAATGAAAAGGCTGCTATGGCATCCTCTACGATGGCACCATTGGATATAGGATTGGGGTCTTCTGTCAACAAATCATCCCCAGGGATTTCCGGATCTCTCCCAAAGACTAGTTGGTTTGGACTGTATCCTCCTCGCCTCATCAATGCGTTTTTGGCTTCAATAGTGACATCAACACACTCCAACCAACTGGGATAATCCTCTGGCATCATCTGATCGATCACTTTAGTCAACATAGTTGCAAAGTGTCTTCCTTGTACCTCTACGTCTCCCATCTGTTCATGAGCTTCACCTGGTACATCTAGTGGGGTTGTCCCATCTCGTTCCAATGCGTCCAGAAAAGTCTGTCCTAGGTTGCATCTACTAGCATCGAACTTGATGTACTTCGGCCGTCCAAATGAACGAGTCCAGTGTCGATACAATCTAACCAGAAGATCTGAGTTCTCTGTTTCCCGGAAAGGGAACATCTGTTGAAAACCCGTGGCTCTGCAGACAATGTTAACTGCTTTGATGCTCATGTCCCGTTTCCAGGTCGGGAGCCATTTCACATCGAAACCGATGTATCGCAATGGGGCTAAATCTCGAGGCACTGCACTCTCACGAACAGCTTTGGGTGGCCTACGCGATTCACACAGGTCACACTGGTAGCTGCGAACCAGTTCCAGTACCTCCGGCCGTGCCCCATGATGCTTCAGGATGCGAACCATGTCGGCGGTCGATGCGTGACCGAGATTGATGTGCATTTTGCGAACAGCGTTCAACACCCTATCTCTACTAACAGAGGTCATCTCCTTACCATCCTCCAGTTGCACATCGGCCTGACTCACCGGATAGCATGCTGCCTCATATTGTTGCTGGCACGCAAATCCTCCTAGTATGATGTTTATCAACCGTCTGGGGTACACTTGGGTTTGAACCGACCTCAACTGACCCCCTGATCGGCCTTCCACCACCTGGTGATCGTGGTCCTGCGAGCACTCCAGCTTGTCCAGCATGGCCGCAATGGCTTCCGCATTGGTCAGGAAGCTCCATGACTTCTTGAAAGGCAGCTTCGACTCCCTGTCACGAAGGCCCACGGAGCATGCCGGCACCGTGACCCTCTGGCACTCATCAAAGTCCATCAAATGCCCCATCGCCGGCAGCCGCCAAGCAGCACATGTCGCCGAGGACTCGAAGATAAAGTATTTGCCCTTACGCATCCGATCTCGTGCAATCCTCGTGCACCATGCCACCATAGCCCGAGCCTCGATCACATCTCGTTCGTGCTGTTCAGGATCGGCCCTTTTCCACGGTGGGGTCGAGTTCTGAAGCCGGGAGAGTGGGCCGCAAGGTGGAGAGAGGATCATCAAGTCTGGTTCCTCCTCCTCAATCAAGTCCCACACCTTCTTTCGATCCGAGGCCTTCTTCCAGTCCCGGCCGCTGCTGAGGTCAAAGCTTCCGATGACCTTCAGTCCGAAGTCTCCGGCCCGCTCAGCAAAGCGCCCAGGGCAAAAGACCTCTACCACTGATGGTCTTTCCGGCTCTGCCTTCAGGATCTCCGTGAGGTTCTCTTGGATCTTCTTTCTCTCTCCGGCCTTGAACACGCCAATGTCTCCTGTTTCATCCTCACAGAACTCTTCTTCCGGCTCACTTGCCGTCAGGTTGTCCTGGTCACCAGTCACCTCGAGCTCCTCCTGGTTCTGGGTCTCCGTGTTCCCAGTCTCATGGTCCTCCGGGGTCTCAATCTCATACTCCTCCGGGGTCTCTGTCTCTTCCACTCCATCGCCTCCTTCTGGCTTGGGGCTCGTAGGCACATACTCCTCCATCTCATCTTCCGGAATCGTGCCCATGGGAACGTCCCCGAGGTTGAGGCCACCTTCCTCCTCGTCTTCCTCGCCAAGATCTGTAGCCAGGACTTCCACTTCGGCATCCTTGATCTTTGGCGGCTTCTGGAAGTCCAGGAGGTTGATCTGATAGCTCCCATCCCGTTGCTCCAGAAGAGGCACTGCCAGGTGCGCCTTGGTAAAGGTCGCGAGACCCTGGCGCATGTCGATGATGGCTCCCAAGCACTTCATGAACCGCTTGGAGATGAGGAGAGGTTAGTCCCCCGGCACCACATGCACTCGCAGCCACAGCTGCACCCCGGCCAGGAACACTGGGATCTGCACCGTACGGTGGGAGACGTCCACCGCACTGTTTCCGTAGCGAAACTTGTGAGGTTGATGCAGCATCTCCTTGATCTCGTAGCCATGTTCATTGAGCACCTTCTCATGCCGCTGCAATGTCTTTTCCCCAACAAGTCCTCGTCCACAGCCCGTGTCAACTACTCCATGACCCGCTGCATGGACAAGGGCTACGACCGTCTCACCATCGAGGTACTCGGCCTCCTCGTCAGTCTCCTCCATCATTGAATCTTCCGAGCCGGACTCCTTCAACGCCTCCTCTTGCGCAATGTCCAGCTCATCTCTGTAAGCCTGCGCCAACATGTCGATCTCTTCATCGATGGGCGTGAACGGAAGATCCTTCATGTAGAACACCGTCCGGCCGGTCCACTCCACACCAACATCCTTATGTGCTTCCCCTCGGGCCTTCCAGTTGTGGGAGAAGTGCACCGCATGGGATCCATCTTCCTTGAGAAGGTGCGTCGACCGACTGTCGCACAGCTCGTGAAGGGGCACTGGACAATTGGAAGCAGCCGGGGTGAACAGTCTTGTCCTTGGCAGTACATGTTCACGGATCACCTCCGCCCCTCGGGTGTACCAGAAGTCTCTCGGCACATGGCTCCATCCTTCAACCAATGCCTGCATCTCATGCCCATACATCTCCGGGCCGATGGGCGGGTTGTAGTTCTGCTCCAACTCACCGTCCTCATTCTCATCCAGCGTCCAGTGATGCTCCGTCCGGATGTTCGGTGTGTCCGGTTGGTTCCACACCATGAAGACGTAGTTCACCTTTGTGCCACCTCCCGTAGGATTGTTGCCATCCTTGTTCGAGCCCTTGCTTCCTCCCTTGCCTCGTTTGGGGCAATCTCGAGAGAAATGGCCCACCTGTCGACACTTGAAGCACTTGACCCGGGCGGCCAACTTCTTCAGCTGACCCTGGTTTCCAAAACCTCTTGACATCTTGGTCTGTGCAATCGAGCTCCGTGTCTGTTTCCAGGTCAGGAGGGCATCAATGGCATCCTGTTCTTCAATTTCTTCCTCCGGCTGATAGCCGGCATCGGTGAGGTACACGTCAAACTCTTCCTCCATGGTCTCTTCATCGTCGTCCACCTGGCCCTGGTCGTACTCCACCTGGTAGGCATGTGAACTCGTTCGGAGTGCTGCTGCCACGTCCTTCTCAGCGTAGCTCTGTCTCGCCGCTGCCATCACCACGGCTTTCCTCTCAGCACTCAACTTGGCGAAACGCAGCAACAAGTATCCTCGGGCGACATCGGGTAGCACCACTCCCTCGGCTTCCGCCGACGAAAACGCTGCCCTCACCTTGCCCGTGAACACCGCCGTCGTCTCCCCTTTCTCCACCTTGAGGTCGAAGACCTGGTCGAGCACACTTCCCAGTCTGTCATGGGTGGTTTCAGCCGGGAACCGGTCATCCAAGATCTGGAAGATCACCTCCTCGCCCCCGATCTCCTCCACCCGGTCCATGGGCACCTGGTCTAGTGCTCGAAGTGCAGTGCCGTCCAGAAGCGAGAACACCAGTGATCCATGGGCCTCAGGACCAACCCCTTTCGCCTTCTGAACTGTGAGGTAGGCTCTGCACGATCTCCTCCATCGCTCGTAGTCCTTCGCCGGGTTCGAGCCATCCCCATCGAACCGCTTGGTCAGACCACCCTCCGTCTTCTTCTCCTCACTCATGCTCTTCTCTCACGCGGCGCCCCTGTGAAGGGGCTCCGCTACCAGTTTGAACTGGCTTGCCTGTGAGCGCCTGCTCCACCAAAGCCGCAAAGCCCTTTTCCACGGTTCAAGGGCTGGCCGTCAGGCCATCCATAGCGTTCCTACGCTAAGCCTGCAAAAGGTTCCAGCCTAAAAGGCAAACGGACATGTCAGGTGAGCCAATCCGTGAAAATCACAACTAGTTTCCTGAAGGACCAGGCCTCATGGACTCTCCACAGAAGTCAGCTGAGACTTGGTATTCACATGTCTGAAAAGGCCAGCAACCCAATGCTCTACAAATGCCCTGGGGGGGGTAAACTCTGGCAACCCTGATAAGAGGGATGCTTGACAGTAAGTGCCGATGCAAATGCAGTGGAAACGCCTCACCGCTGTTGTTGCTCAGGACCGCTCTGTCTCGACTTCAGGCCTGCACCAAGGGGCTGGGAAAATCGTGTGGCCGCAGAGTAACAAGAAGCTACTAGGGGCTCCTAGCATCGCTACTAGGAGCAAGGACGCCACTATAGGGGCTCCTGGCCTTGCTACTAGTAACAAGAAGCTACTAGGGGCTCCTGCCATCGCTACTAGGAGCAAGGACGCCACTGAAGCAAGTTAGCAGGATCTTGCCAGCACCCCTCCATGAGGCTAAAGGAGAACAACTGAAAAGGGAAATAGTACAGGACGAGAGGGAAAGCGCAAAATCACAAGCGCAGTAGCTGCAAGGTAGTTTTTCATAATCTGCCGGTTTGGCCTTGGAAATCACTCATGCCTGTTGCCGGAACATCGAAAGCTGCCACTAACTTCTCGTGGCTACATCCGTCTGAAGCAACACAAAGATTCCGGCCACCTGAATCATCCGCTTGTGGGAAGAGAATCAGTCAATTGGCCAATATTGCGCAAATTCTCAAGTTGCTGCAAAGTGTGGGAGGCATCTTGGCCAAGTGCGGGGTCGATGTCCAACACAGCTGCAAGATCGAGCTTCAGCCCGTCCATCCCTTCAACCGGTTCCCTCGTCTTGTCCATCCATTCAGCCCGTTTCCGCATTTCCCCAAACAATTCTCTGCATTCTTTCTTTTTGAGCTCGATAACTTCAGGACTGCTCGTGTCGCCCGTGACGAACTGAACCAGGCTGAGGATCTCCTGAACCTTGCCATGCATTACCGTCAACTCGCCTTCGATGCTTTCCAAGTTCCCTTCTGCGTCTTTCAACTTCTTCTCCACGAAGCCCATGTACTCTTTGAGGTGCTCGAGGTCCTTTTGGAGCCAGTCCAGCCATTGGCCCACATCCACATAGAGCTTGAGGAGGGCGGCCTTGAACACCTCAAAACCTGCCTCGCCCCTCAGTGAGACTATGGCAGCAATTGAATGGAGGAGCACTGCAATGGGCCACTGCCGGTGTCCAAAGTGCTTGGCCAGCCACAAAGCCAAGCGGACTGCTGATTCTACAGCTGGAACGGTCAGGTGTCCAAGATGCTTAGTAGCCACCATCAGAGTACAAAGGCCACTTTGGGTCATGCATGCAATGCACACACCTTGAAAAACCACTTTGGAGATCACCAAGCCCCCCAAAGTCAGACCAGCTGCCGAGCTGGCACAAAAAACTCCCGTAGCAGTGGCACCAACCGCGCTAACTACGCCCAGTAGAATGCAAATGCTCTGGTTGTCCATGCCAAGCTGCACACAGCTGCTCACAAATTCCGCCACTTTCGTCGCCACAGTGAACATGTCAGTGTTGATTTTTTCCAAACTGCGCATAGAATCTAGAAGATTCCCACAACTTGATTGCTGGGAAATGTGGCCGGCCTCACGGACTTTCTTCAGAGCAAGATCCAAGGCTTCTGTATTGTTCAAGGTGCACTCAAGTTCTGTCATTGCTTGCCCAAAAGCAGGCCAGTTACCGTACTGAATGTGATTGTTAGCCGTCGCGATCTGGGAAGTGATGCAATCCAAGTGATTGCTGAGCTTTTTACGGAAATGTTGAACCTCGAGCGACTTCTCCTTCATCTGGGAGAGATCTTTCTGCAAGGTCTGGAGGCGTGTTGAAGCCTTGTGCAGTCCTTGCAAGATTGTGCCAACGGATCCCACAATCTTCTCCTTGAGATCCTGCGGAGAATGTGACAAAGAATCCTGAAAGGCGCACAAGCTCCGATTAATATCTGGCGCGCCTGCTCTCACTTGATAGGTCAAGAATTGAAGCAGGGGCATGGAGTCATCACCCAGGACTTCTCCCAGCTTTTCCAGCATCTGGCCCCTGTATTTGGGCATGCCATGGTCCTCAATGCTCCCTGTCCCTTTCCCATCATCATCGCTCTCCATCCTTTCTGCCAGCGCATGTGGCTGACATGGCTTACATTGGATGAAATCTACCTCTCCAGGCTTCAGCAGGATGTGGGAGCAAAGGTGCTCGTAATCGTTCAATTGCGATTTTACATTCTCTGGCAGAGTCAGCCCCATTGCCGACCCAAATGACCTCAAGCACCCCAAAGGGGCGAAGTCCAGGTTGAACGGAAGCCTGGGAACCACATCATTGTTGTTAACGAAATTCACACAATGCTCCTGCATCCAGGCTCTGGCTTCACGATTGTGCCCCCGTTGGCCGACAGTGCCACGCTCTTTCTGCACAAAAGGTGCCGGACTCCCAAAGAGGATGCCACGAGCATTCTTCATGAGTTCATTGTTGTAAAGTGGGCTCTCCCTATTCGTGGCCTCCAGCCACATGAAGGCCATGGCAATTTGCACCAAAGCCCCCCCAAGCGAATGGCCAAGAAGTAGAATCTTGTCATGATCCAGCCCTGCCAGGGCCTCTTTGAGCTTGCGATGGAGGCTTTGATCTGACACTGCGGCATGCCACCCGGAATGAACTCCAAGCAGTATGTCTGCAAAGGGGCTCCAGTTGACGGCGGCTCCCAGATTCTTGATCCAATCGTTCAAATCGACTGTCCCGCGGAACGCCAAGACGTAGATCTTCATCGCTTGAGCCAGCGCTCCACCTGACAAGTGGACATCAAAGCTGCTGAACTCGTCCTCTCTCACCTGAGATGTGATTTCCAAATCAACTGCCGTGCACAGAACTCACCTCATTCAAAGTTATGTAATTGTTCACATGTCTGCATCCAAGCAGCTCGTAGTGTTGCCTTGGCTGTGTAGATGCAACCGTTACGACAATCCAAAGACCAGGTGGGATTTTCTTCGGCATCCTGGTCGTAGGTCCACTGGGCTGCCTCCAGCGCCAGCCAATACATCCTCAGTGGCTGGAGGGTTGGCTTTCAGAGGTAAGCACATCAAAATTCAAGCCCTTTAGGAAAAGCCTCATACGCCAACCCTCCGCTCACTATACCTTTGAGAAAATCCAACGCTGGCTTTCCAATTGCTGCCCTGCGATGATGAATCCTCTCTGGCAACACTCTGCACGTGCAACCTCGTTGCCACCTCTTTTCTTCAAGACTGGTGCAATTGAGGCTGCCGACTTTAGTCATGGCTTGCCTGCTCAGAATGCTTTCTCATCAATCCTGCACCCAATCCGATGATACATGTTAGAAGCCAACATGGTCCCAACAACAAGGATCGGGCAACACCCTTTAACTCAACCAAGGCTCAGGTTGCGCTCGATCTTCTCCATCTTTTGTGCCAACACAGGCGAACTCTAAAGCTTTTCTCCAGCTGGAAAGGCTGCGAAGGCCGAATCGCAAGCGCCAAACCAAACTCAACTGAATTTGAACAGCAAGCTGAATGAGGACAAATCCTCCTCAACACTCGTTTTAAACTAGCAAGTTGCTCTCACCTACTGAAATTATCCTAGCGTCCTCATGCATTTTCCCCTGCATCGGCCTTCCCAAAGGAAGGAATTCGCAGGAGGGCCTGGAAGCCACCGTCCTGGACAGAATGGGCCTTCCTGTTTGTGCATTCCACCTTTGGTGAGTACAAACACAGCCCCCCAAAAAAAAGGAACTCGATCATGGCAGACTTTTCAAAAGGTGGTGGATGTGAAAATCAAGCCGATATTTGCACGGAATTCATGTTGAAACACCATTCGATCACACTAGATCCTGGGTGGGGCCCAGGGTCAACACCTCGCAGCTTCTTCGCTCCCACCTGGCAAGCAGTCCTTCCTGACAGCAGCCCGCCAGCAGCTACTGCGACCTCTTCACCACTGGCCAAAGTCTCCAGTTAATCCAAGCTCAGCTGCTCCGGCTCACAAAAACAACATAGAATGACAACAATTTTGTAACGTATCTACCAATGGCTATTTACCCATCATTCTTTTTTGGCATGTCCTTCTTGGGATGAGACCTTGGAGGTACGAGCGTTTTGTATTGCATCCCTTGTGCAAGTGCAGGCCGGACGCCAGGCACCTGTTTGCTTCTTAACATGATTTGTCAAACTACCATCTTTTGTGATGCTCTTATACCAGGGGGTCATGAACTACCTAACATCCCGACCTTGCCTTCAAGTATTCAAGTTCCAAACCCAAACCGGCTCACTGATATTCACCGGCCGATCAATCTGAAAGACCTTGAGCCACGAATGGTAGCACAGTCTTTCACGACAAGTGCCCGCAAGTCGTTCCATGCCTTTCCTTTAAAGTTGCAATGTCCAAGATTCACAAAGATTCACCACCTTCTGTCCACAAACAAATCTTCATCTTCAGGCCCTTTTCATCTTCGGGTGCTTCAGAGAGCGCCAATGTGACGAAAAAGAAACACCCATCACCAAACCTGATACACTCCCTAGGCCCTAAACTTATCATGGAAGTGGAAAACCGCCTGCTTGTAGAAGAAAATGGTCATCCAAGGGGCCAAACCATCCACGTAACCATGTTTCCAGGGCATGTATCCCAAACTTGTACCCAGAGCCTCCTCTTTTCTCCTCAGCCCCCTCTCTTCAGCGAGGATCCTACAGATCGAATGCGTTGCTCGATCAAGCTCAAAACCAGCCGAGTTGGTGCGGTTTTCGCGGCCGAAACGTTTCGGAGGGCAGTGCTATTTGCAGGAGCAAGCTGGAATTCTGGAGGCCCATTTGGCTGCAAGAAATGGAGCGCAAGCCTTCTATTCCTTCTATCGCTTCATGTCTTGCTCCACTCTCTGAAGACGCAATGTTCTGCTAATTTGGGGCAGACTTGCAGTCATCAGGCTGATCAGGGAGAACCTCCTTCTGTTGCTTCAACCATGTCCTTGCACCAACTGGAGAGGAAGTCCAGCTGCCTCCAGCGACCCGCGTCGTCGCTTCTCACCACCTCCCAGTCGACCCAGGTCGACGCAGCGCTCGAAGCATCCACGGCAGCACGCCGACGCCGCGCGTGCTGAACCGCTATCCCATTATGGCAGCTACTCCAGGGCAGCACGCCGGCAAAGACGATCTCTATTTTTTTTTTCGGGGGGGAAGGTCGGAGGTGGGCCAGATGCTTTTTGGAAGCAAACTCCTTCGGAACGGTGATGCTTTAAACACTTTTGGGGAGGAGGTGGCTTCAGGATTCCAAAAGAGCCGTGCGGAATGAAGGGAAGACTGTGTGAGTACACTGACCTTCTTTTCGGCGATGCAACGCGAGGGGGATGTGCTTAGATCAGCGTTTCACAAATCCTCATCACAATTGATGCTCAAGAGTGATCGACGAGGCAGTGGGTCATCGCGGGAATCAAGTAACACAAGGCAGGCACAACCCATGCGTACTACCTGGGGGGCTCAAAGTTCAGGGGCATACAAGTCATATTATTCTTAAACGTTTCAACCTCGTGAAGTTTACCCTAGCCCCAGCTAAAAGGCCTTGGAGTGGGGACAACTCCTGACATGTAACATAGGACAGCACGGGCAACCCGTGGGCTGCACACTCAGCAAATCCTACCATTTCTTGGCGCTCACCTCTGCAAAGTCACAAGGCTTGAGGCGCATTTTTGGGAGGACGCGCGATGGCTGCGCATGGACTTCTCCCTCCTCACGTCCTCTCAGTTGGGACGTGGTAAGAGATCCCGCCACTCCACAGAGCTGCTAGTTGCAATGCATCCCGAAGCCACGGAAGACTCCAAGGGAGAACCATCGGGACCAGCCACCCTCTGCGTCTGCATGAGTGATCAACAAGGACGGAAAACCGTTTGAAAATGTCTTCGATCCGTTCACCATCATGCGCATTTCAACGCGGCAGCAGGGCTGATCCTCCGCCCTCACCCTCGCTCGCTCGTCCTCGCTCGTCCGTCCTCCGTCGGCCCGCGGAGCCGTCAGGACGCTCCCCGTCGGCGGCCTGGTGCGCGGTGCCAAGGCGGCGACGCGACGCGGTGGATGGCCAGCTGTTCGCAGGTCCGCGTGAGAAATCTGCGAGGGTTGCAGGGGTGGAGGATGAATGACCCGGAACAAAAGGAGAGCAACAAGAAGATAGATAGAAGGGATGTGAGTTCGAGCTCGTTCCTTTCAGAAGCCTTCTCTTTCATCAGGAAAACATCCCGCCCAGGTCCGGGCTTCCGTTGCTCCCAACAGGTCCGGAAACGAAGGGAACGGGATCTGGCTTCGTTGTGCCGCTGGAAGGGCACATCAAGAAGTCAAAGTGTTTCTACATGTTTCTACAAATCCTTTTGAGGCTGTTCACCTACAGCTGGTCAAGCTCAACTTGGAGACTGATCTTCAGAACATGCGAAGTTTGAAACTTGGAGTCACCTGCCCGCACCTTCTGTTCAGCGCTTTCTGGGTGGACCAGGGATGCACAGTGTCTAACCGAGTCTAACCACATCCACGCTCAGCCTTCACATTCGGTGCGAGGGAATCTACTGCAGCTACTGCTCAGCAATCCTTCCATGTGGCGACCAGACCCGCGATGGGGCGAGGAAGAAGGATTTCTCTGGGCGTCTTCCTTGGGCTGCATTGGCTTTCGGACGGTAGGTCGTCGGTTTGCAATCTAAGTGGGTGGGTGACGGAAAGCCTTCGTGGTGCAAAGACCAAAACCTGCGCCCGTTTGATTCACCCTTTGGCTGGTGAAAGAACGCAGCTACGGGAAACTAAGGGCATGGGCATGGGTGTAAGATGGTGGAAGGAGACTTTGTGCAAATACATGTTCTAGTAAAACTGCACGATTTGAAGTAGCAGCTTTCCAATGTCGGGGCTCGTTGACTGCAAGAGGTGCACTATGAACCGACCCTGCCGACAAGACTTCACAAGAGGCAAGAGACTCACTCTCCACAAGCTGGCCTTTGCCCCGGTCACAGAACCGGAAGGAACTGGTGACGGACCAAACTCCAACGTTTCCCGTGTCGCGTACATCGGACGTGGTGGTCCATGAACAGAACCAAGGACACCCACAGACATGGGGACAGCGCTCATGGCGTTCATGCGTCTTTTCATTCAATTGTGCTGACCCATTGCTAGCATCTGACAAAATCAAGTCCCACCAACTGCTCCAGGTGGAGACTTTGCTGTTGGACCACTCCAGCGAATGCCAGAGGATGGGCCAATCCTCTGCAGCGTCCAAGATCTTCAGCTGTGGATTCCTCTGCTGAATTCTATAATCGGATGCTGGAATTCCAATGGGCTCAAATCTCAGCAGGCCCCCCCCTCCATTTGGCCGGACCACACCCCGCGCTGGCACACCGAACACATCCATTCAGCGCCTCGCCAGCGCTGATTGCGCCGTGCACCACTCGCCCGGACGCGTGCACTTCGAAGCCGAGCGCGCTCTCCGCGAGGCCCGCGCCTGCTCATGTCACCGAAGTCCACACCACCTCACTGTCCTCACCAGGCTCTGGGCAAGAAGTGGTCGAACACAGCCCGCTGAGCCCGGGTCTATCGCAGAGTCTTGGGGCTGGGAGGGAAGCCATTGACAAAACAGCCTGAAGGTGGAGTGATGTGCCTTATTGCTCCTTTGGGGAAATTAAAGACTTTCAACACCTCAATCGTCCCCGGGCATTGTTCATGAAAAAATGTCAACAGGAATCGTGTAGTAGATTATGTTGTACCAGCATCTAGGATCTTAGCAACACACAGACTAGAGTGACTAGATCATGGGACGAGACTTTGTCGTCGAGTTGCCTCCTTAGAAGAGCTTCATTGGACACTCTGGACAAATGCACGTCGCATCATCCAGAGCAGACTCTAGGACTTTAAGCCTTTAGCAGGTCTTCCTTGGAACGACTCCAAACCAAGTGCTCGCAGGCAGGGTGCTGGCCAAGCTCCAGCTGGCACACTGCGGAGTTGCGAAGTTCAAGCTTTGGGCAATGCCGAATGAGATGATTTCATCTCCCCCGCCCCCTGCACTCCAACATGACAAAGTATTGTTGTACAATCAGCTGCTCTCCTCTCTCAAAAACTTGCTATCCTTATTCAATGGGCTTCTTGGGGAAGTCAGGGACAAACACATCGACCACAGCAGGCCCTTTTGGGCAAAACAGACCTGAACGCCCCCGAACCACCGGCCGATCAGGATTTCGGAAGTGAGGTAGTCTAGACACTGCTACGGTGTTTGAACTGAGCTGGAGGCAAACCTGGATGTTCTAGAGCCTTTGTGAACGGTTTTTGGAATTGAAAAAGTTGCTTTACTGGGCCTTACTTCCCTACCGGGGCCTGTTCACATTGAAGTGATCAGGCACTGTGCTGATCTAAGATTCAAAAACTTACGCACTCTTTGGCAAATCTGAGATTTGTGTTACGGAGAGGTGCTAACAAAGACTTTATTGTGGGGAGTGGCACGTTGGCTTCTTCTTGGCCACTCTCCTCAAAATGGATTCTGAAGACCTTATCAATAAAGTACCCTCGCGTTGCGTTATGTTCATGAAAGGGCGTCAACAGAAATGACTGGGCAGAAGCACTGCCAAGATCTAAGCAATAAAAGCACTCGGTCAAAGCAAGAAGACCCTTGATTGAAGCGCTTTCCTTCCAGTTCTAGACTTTTAATCCATGTGTTGCGTAGCTTCGAACAAGGACAGAACCAGGGCTCGTCAGCCTGCAGACAGCTTTCAGAGGGGCTGATCCGCTGGTAAGGGGCACTTCCCAGGCGAGTTCCTTGCCCTCGGACCGTCTAGGGGAATGTCCAACCACTGGGGAGGTGTTTTACAAAGCTTATTTGGCCAAAGGCTGCAATGAAGGATTGATTATGCATTAGACACTATCCTCTAGGTAGTTTCTAAGACTATAGCTTTTTGACTGCAAACAAGGACACAGAGTGAAGCTCATGCTGTCTCGCTGAAAGGGATGATATGCTTGTCAACCTGGTTCGGAGCCTTAAAGACTCAAAATCATCGAAGCTCCTCGGTAGGTAGGAGAGCCTCCCTCCGTGCAATGAAAAGTGCGAGGCACTCGCGCTTCTTCACACAACCGAGGCTTGAAAGGCTCCACTTGAACCGCCTGAGCATCTGCTAACAAACACCCAGGTGCTTCGAATACCGCGACGTGGGTCATTTTGCTTCGGCCAAGTAGGGGCAAGGGTCGGACCAGGGCAAGCCATGAGGCCCACGAGGTCGTGGAGCTCACCAGGCTCACCACGTGGCACAGACGATGTTACAGAGCAAGTGAGGCTAGGCTGAGGCTCACATGGGCCAATCACCAACTTCCTCGTTGAGCTTCAAAGTTGGACCGTGCATCTCGGAGATGATCCGCTTGGACCAACACTCCTGCAGGCACTAAAGGCACTGCCTTTCAGGCGGCATTAAGGGCTGCCCGGACCCAACTCAAGATCCAGCGTTCACGAATGAGGGGTCCAAATGCAGTTGAAGGGGATGTTATTAGTTATGAGTTATGAGTGGGATGAAGCTACTCGCATCACAGCCGGCCATCGGTTGAAGCCTGCCATCAGCGTAAGAACTAGAAGAAACACTTTCCAAAAGAAATTTCGGCGAAAGCTCTTTGCTAAATGCTCTTGAACTTCGAGGTGTCTCACTTCAATAAGGCTCACAGAAAGTCCATGTGTGCTGCACCCCTCCTGCCACGCAACGTACGCAATGTGCGCACGGGAGACGGGTGCCTCATCGCCAGGTGACAACATCCAGTGGTTAGTTAGCTGGTGAAATGCACCCCGTCTGCACGACATTCACCGCACATACGTCAGTTGGTCAACGTTGGTCGGGCACTGGTTGAAAATGCTTTATCCGTGGTCTGTGCAGAAAAGTGAAAATGGAGTTCCTGGAGGAAGCATCCTCCCCCATCTTCAGCATTTAGCTGCCATCGCACGGCACCAAATCACTCGAAGGTGCGTCTTTCCGTGTCAGCCTAGCGACCAGGCTCATGCCATCTCAGGAAGGCCAATTCAGTGAGTGCTCCAAGCCCATCGAACCATGCTGTGGAGGGCGAAAACATCAATGAAACATTTCAGCGCTCCAAAAGAGGGCGTTTGACATCAGCCGGTGGGCCTCCCTAGGCTCAACCCATGGTTCAACTGAGGCACGCGCTTGGGGCTCAGTGCAATCACTGCCGTCACTCGGACGGTTGGACTGTTTTTGTCGGCCCGTGCCCTCACACTCCCCATGCCCAGGGCCGATCAGGCTCAGCTGCATCGTTCAAGATGTCACAGCTGATTGCATGCCACTAAGAAACCCTCAGTTCTTGTGGAAGGCGCGAACTTGGGGCAGCACGCCCATGATGCAAACCTGCTGCATTTTGGAGGGGCAGATGGGCAAATGGGCGGATAGGCACGCCTCCGCCCAAGCCTCTCAGAGCAAAGGAGGAGCAATTCACAAGAGAAAGTGAGGACGTGTGCTTTCTGCGTTTCAGCTGGCCTGAAAAAGCATCTTCTGGCCCCAAGGCCAAAGGGAGACAAATAAGTCATGTAAATCTATGGGCCATCCATGGATTCCATGTGCCATCAGCACAGGCTCCCACCGGAGCAGCCTCCTTTGTTCCCTGCACGCAGCTACAAAACCCTGGGTGACCAAAGTTGGGCTTGTTTCGACGAGGTGCTGAGGCGCGGTAGCAGAAACAGAAGGACATTGCAAACGCTCAAAATCATCGAAGTAGATTTCAGCCAATCTGGGTTCACTTCCCGATTCCCTACCAATCAGCAGGGGCGGTCACGGAAACCAAACCGAGGAGAAAGATTTTGATGTTTGAAGGCCTCTTCCTCGCCCAGGATGTCGGCCCCACCACTCCAAACACCTGGCCAACGGGAAGGGAGCCAGAACGCCACTGCCCAGGCTGGTGCGAAGGCTTCGGCGCTTCATGGCTGGGATCTGCTGATGTGACGAAAGCAAGGGGCCCCAAAGGCGGGACCTGGATTCCAAGAGCTTATGTTCGAAGAGGACGATTCAAAAGCTATTCACCGTGGAGGATTCAAAGCTATGGGGAGTTACATCATGTTACATAGATCCTTTCAAAAGCATCCTCTCACCAAGCATCCTTTCAAAAAAAGGAACGGGGAAACGAAGCGGATCGAGCCAGCGACCTGGCCGAGCGGAGGGTTGGCACCCTAAAGTGACGTAAGGCTTTGCGTCACATAGCGCCTAGCCGCCACGCCTTGATGAACCATGCGCGGTGCCAATCTGGCACCCCTGCAGGGCTCACGAAACGGTCAGCCAGCCACACGAATGAGCGGCAGCGGCACGGCACAGATTTCCACACGAGCCGCACTGGAAGGGACGCCAGGCACCGAAAGAACTTCCGTCCCCAGCACCTCGCCGGAACGCCCGGTCGACCGACGCCTGTAACACAGAAGGTCCCCGTCGGCGCGCAGCATAAGGCAAGGCGTCGAGGACTGGACTGGCTGTCGCCCTTGGTGCGTCGATGTGTGAGATGACCTGGCACAACAAGTCAATTTGGAAGGGTGATGAAAATGGACCAGCTGAGAAATTGGTTGAAACAATTTTAGCCCATGCCGCAAAAAGAAGCGAGTCCATGAGGTGTTTGATGCAAACATGCGCTTTTTGCGGCGGTCGCTCAACACACTTGAAAACCTCATGCAGCATGCTTGGGAGGAAAAAGATTATATAACAAAAATCAAGTTGGAGGATGTCTCATGTTGTTTTTCATTTGAGATTTTGTGTTTTGTCATCTTTACCATTCTTTACCGTTTTTGCTCCAACACCCACCTGCTGGCCGGCCCTTCACTCCATCACACCCGCGTATACGGCTGCTTGCCCACTGCTCGCCCACTGATGAGATGCAGTCCCCGCACACGTTGATGGCGGGCGCCAGGCTGCTGGGAGCTCTACTCTTCCAGCCACTCCTCTAGCCTCAAAGTTGGAATGTCCCGGAGTATCTGGTGGTTTTACTCCAGAAAAGATCTATATAAAGCTCAGGGGGTCTTCAGCTGAGGGGACTTTTTCAGGTGTGTTCTTCATGTTCTGAGCTGCTTCTTCCTGCAATGGTTCCGAAACACGTCACCGGAAACATGGAAGGATGGGTTTCCGAAACGCGTCATAGAAAAAAAGGTTCCCGGGCCACCTCTCGAGGTATCGTAGCACCGCCCGGTCCACTAGATAGTCTGCCTCGACGCTTTTCAAAGAGAGTCTTGCCGCCAGAAGCAAGGATGCCAAATGGCACCGGTCGTAAGGCACACGAGCTTCAAGGGGCCACATGGCAACCCCGCCACTGTATGAGCCAAAAAGGGTGCCATCAGCAATGCAGGCCACATGTTTCAGAACCGAAAGGACGCGTGGTGTGGGTACCAATAGAAGGGGCATTGTCTCAGTGGGATGCCCCCCCCTTGTCTCAGTTGTTTGAGCAAACTTGGCTGTTGCAAATTGCAATCCCACAGCGTTTGGAAGCCTTGAGTCAATGATTCCCGGATGAGAGCATCTTTTGTTAACGCCCCTGAAACTTAGACAACGCCAAGAGCTTCTCTCATGAACATCTCACAGAGTCTTTCATCTTCCAGCTGGCCTTGCGGCACAGCGAGTTATCAGAGAACACTTGACAGACGGGCATGCCGACCATGCCGGGCACGACACTGCACCACCACCATCGTGCACATCATTCCATGACCAGCAGCGCGGCGCGCTCCCTTTTCCAGCCGCCAGGCGTCGAAGAGACTGAGCGAAGCAGGGCCCGTGTGCCATCGAGCCATCTTCACTCACTGGTGCATCACTGGTGCATCTTCCATCGCTCACGGGTTCTCTTCCCTTCGCATCTGCAAGATCTGCCACAGCCAGGAGAGATAGGGCGCAGAGCTGTGGTCGAGTGAGATCCAATCTGTTTGCAATTTGAGTATCTTCATGGCCTCCAAAAAGTGGTCGGTGGCCCCCAGAAATATCTCCGAGTGGTTTATTCTTTGATCAACTTGCCACCGTTTGAAACCCTGCGTATTGATGGAGGATCTAGAAGGACTCCGTCTGCGGCGTCTTCATGCACGGGGACGAATCCCATGCAACCAACCCTAAAGGCTTTGAACATAGCGAGGTTCCTGTGCAAACAGGCTTAGAGATATTGTTGAACCAATTTTGATGTAAACAGTCAGAAGAACAACACGGAAACAAAAGACATGTTTAAGCACTTGCAAGTGGACCAGTTTGGCTTCAATGGCAATTACATCAGACAAAGATTGCATGGGAATTGTCTTACAGCAACTTTTGCACCGCACATGCAGTATGCACACATGTCCAATATATGGACTGTGACTACAGTAGTAGACGAGTAGACTACACTTCTTCCGGGCCGATCAGAGCCGTCATACCAGGACCGAACGACGCTCCTCAGAACCGAAGGCCGATCCAAAAGAACCCGAGGAGCGCCGATCACCGCTCAACTGGCGACGAGGCATGTGCCATGTGCTGGCTACAACCATCAAGTCAAGCCATCATCTCTGGTTGCTGAAGCCATTCCAACAAAAGCTGTGCAACACATCACAAGCGAGGAAAGTGCATTGCAAAGGATGACCGAAGAGCCGAAGAGCATAAGGTTCTGGCAAAATGCCAATCACATATACTGTATACTATATGACATTGACTTAATTGGGAGAAAAGAATTTGCATAATTATTGGTTCTGAGAACTGCACATGCACCAAGTATGTGATTGCACCACTTGCCTAGGTGTGGATTTCTCTTCAATGATGATCGGCCACCTAACAAAAGTATATCATCAACGCCCACGGCAACCCATGGGCCCCTGTGCGCCGCCTGTGCGCGACGTTCGGGGCAACAACTCGCCCGACTGCAAGATCACGCACCAAAGAGATGACAAGTCTAGCTGACCGGGCCGGCCTTGGGACATCTTCCAAAATTGAGTCGCCTGAAAACCTGCTTGGTCACTTTCTGGACCTGAAAACATCATCTTCATGTGGCAACTCTGCCGTTCGTGCCACCAGTCGTCCGGCACCGGCGTCCGACCCGCTTCCGGCACCTGGCCGGCTTCACCAGGCATCGCCAGAGGTTCCAGTCCCCGAAACGACCACGACTGCACCACGACCACGTCACGCTCCGCCGAGCCGCGCCACCTGCGCGCGGCACGGCGCGGGGCACGGCACGGCACAGGGCGCGGTCGGGGGGTGCGCCGCGCGCCCCAGAAATCGCAGCGTCCAGGCGTCCAACCCGTTCAGGTCGAATGGAAAGGAGCATCCGTAGGAATCACAGGAATCGGCAGGTCGACCGAGACGCGGCGTCTGTTCCGAGCTGATGCTACGAGATGAGCACCCTGGTGCCCGGCTCTACGAGAGGGAGCGCCTCTGGTCGGAGCTGGTTTACTGCGCCTTGGCCACTTGGTGTCTCATAGCTCCGCATTGCACACCACTCAACGAGCACACGCGTTGAAGGAGCACATCCACACGATGGTTCCACACATGCCAGCGTTTCTGGGTGCGGGCTCGCGGGCTTTGGGGTGGGAAAGAATTTCCGGCATCAACTCTACTACAGTCACCTGGGACTTCAGAAGAAGCTTTTAGGGGATAAAGATGGGATGGTCAGTGTTCCAGACCGTCTTTGCAAAGGACAGGCGGGCTGTAGTCAACCGGAGGTGCAAAATGGGAGTTTTACATCAGTTACAGTTACAGTTACAGTTACATCATGCAAAAAATCTCATTGGGTCATCGGGGACTTCTGGCTATCCCACCTTCACCATTACCCAATCAGGGGTGCCGTCACATCACAATCTGTGTGGCCTGAGCAGCTTTCTCTTCCGCCTCACGCGGAACGTCTCGCACGAAACGTGCACCGAACTTCTGTCGAAATTGATCTCAGCATTGTTCCCGCAGGACCCCGAGGCCCTCGTGGAGCGGCCCAACACGACCGCGCGCACGACGCGCACCTGACAGGCACCGTGCCAGGCACCAACAGCACAACCGAACGTCAAGACCTCCGAAGTCACTTGGGGCCACGAACTCCGAAGGAATCGAAAGCGGTGCTTGGGGAAGATCCGAATCTTGTGTCAAGCACGGCCTAAGGCCAACAGGCTGCCCTTCCCAAACAGCTCCTGCCAATGGCTCTGGGGGCTATTTAAATCAATCTTTGAGGCTAAGAACATGAAGATACCAAGTCAAGAAAAGGCCAGCCAAGTCTTTTTGCATATGGAAAAACATGGAGAAACTGACTGGTCTCCAGCTTTCGGACGAAACCGCTGGCACCAAGTAAGGCCCGTTATGCTACGGAAAGGAAGACGTTCGAAAGGGCATGATGAGACTCCTGAGCCGTTCAGCATGTTTCTGTGATCCTGGGTGCTCCTGGACCATTGGTCCTGGACCTTGCAGAGATGGCAGCCAGAAAGAAACGAAGAAACGAAGGTCAGGCACCCAGCTCCCCAAGTGGAGTCCGGCATCCAACCAGATCCTCTCCCAGAAGGGTCAGCGTTGCAGACTTCAACGTGTTGCACAGGCCTTTCAGGGCTTTCTTGGTAGCCTTTCTTTATGGCCAGTTCTTGAGCCATTGAGCAGCACGTCAGCCCATGTTTCAGCCTTCACCTTCTTGCAGGCAGCCGGTGCAACTGTTGAAAACTCATGGGCACATAAGAAACCTCTTGCAAAGAGATCCTAACACCAACCGGAATTTACTTGTGAGCCATAGAACACCTCCAACCCAAGTGGGAAACTGGACTCAAAGTACTCATCTGCTGGCCGCAGCCAAGGTCGGAAATGGACTGACGGTCAAGTGGAGGGCCAAGGACACCGAAGCACAAACACCGACGCACCACCGACGCGAAGAGTGCAGGAGCTCAGGACCCACACCGAAGCGTTCGACCGTTTCAACGAATCGGTCGAGGCTTAACACTGCTCCACAGGGTTCTTCGTGGCCACATCTGCTTTCTGGCCACATGGTGCGATTCACATCACAGTGAAGCAAAGAACTGGAAAAGTTCACTTCATGATGGGCTTTGGGTATTTTCGTTTGACCTAGCCCCGTGTTGGGGCCGCCCTATCTATTCCTTACAGTAAACTTGCTGATGTTTTGAGGCTGAATGAAAATTTGAACATGCCCAGCATGCTCGAACGCTAGTTGGGAATCAAGGCACTTGCATCCTTATTGGAGGAAACCGCATGAACCATGCTTACAGGGGCTGCTGTGCTACAGGGGGCTGCCAACTCCAGCAAAACACCCAGGGTCCATCAAATGCAACTGGACAGGTTGTTGAGCTCATTTGAGCACAGCATCTCTGGCGATGTTGGATCTCACAATGTGGAGGTCAATCGTTTGACCAGTGGCCCTCGCAAGTTGCTGTCTATTTCCAAGCATCTTCACAAAAAGAACCGCCTGCCACAATTGGCATCCCACCTGTTGGATCGTCTGTCGCTGTACTAGGGGCCAGTCAAGCTCAAGTGAGGCTTGGCAGGAAGAGCGCTCACTGGACATTTGTGACACACACGCCTGCAAAGGAGGAATGCTGCTTGGGTGCCAGCACACACCTCCTCCAATCACACAGCTTTCCATCGGGTGTTTCACAGCAAACCCATCGCTTTGAGCAGCACCCACCGGGTGCGTGCCGAAGAGCCGTCGCAGCTGCCGGGTGGGCCTCCACGCATGACAAGCCAGTAGAGCACAACTCTGGCCATGGAAGATCATCATGCAATGGACATTGGAAGGATTTTCACACACCTCCCCACCAGTGAGAGGCGCGTGATGGCCGCAAAAGGACCGCGTTCAGCTTCTGGGGGAAGGAGGACTGCTCGCCAAAGTCAAAACTCTTGTTTCAGGATGGGAGGACCAAACTGGGGCGTCCCATTTTTGGCACGCGAATTTCCGCGAACGACGCGAACACGGAGCGAACACACGAACTCCATATCGCAGCTCAGCTCAGTTCCATCGGTCCGTGGGTTTGGGGCCACGTACCAGTGCGAGGGGCCCAGCTTGTGCGTCTCGAGGCACGTGCAAACCACATCGGTCTAGTGTCTGGCCGTCACCTTCCAAGTGTGAACAATTCCACCGACCCGACTGGAGACGTGTTGGGCCTCCGCGGACTCGACAGAGGATGACAGAGCATCCCAGCTTTGCTGAGGACGTCAGGGCACATCCACCCTCTTCAACTTCAGGTCACTGAGGAAGCTCTTGCTTGACAGAATGGAAGGCAGGCATGAACCTCAGCCTACCCATAGCAACAAAAGCATCACAACAGCATCAGTCATCAGCCAGTTTATCAATGTACACTTGGAAAGCGAGCATGGCGCGTGGCTAAGCCAAGCGGGG